TTGACCAGGATGGTCTCGATCTTTCGACCTCGTGATCCACCCGCCTCGGCCTCCCAAAGTGCTGGGATTACAGGCTTGAGCCACCGCGCCCGGCCCATCTTACATTGTTGATAGATGTCTCATGTCTCCCTAAAATGTATAAAACCAAGCTGTGTCCCGACCACCTTGGGCACATGTTATCAGAACCTCCTGAGTCTGTGTCACAGGCCTGTGTCACGTCTTTAACCTTGGCAAAATTAACTTCCTAACTTGACTGAGACTTGTCTTGGATACTGTGGTTTGCATAACCATCCTAGTGGGTGTGGACTGGTATCTCATTCTAGTTTTTATTTGCATTTCCCTAATGATTGATGATGTTGCACATCTTTTGATGTTCCTCTGCCATTTGTATATCTTATTCTCTGAAATATCTATTCATTTATTTATTTTTATTGTATTATATTTTATATTTTGAGATGAAGTCTCACTCTGTCCCCTAGGCTAGAGTACAGTGGCATGATTTTGGCTCAACGCAACCTCCGCCTCTCGGATTCAAGCGATTGTTCTGCCTCAGCTTCCTGAGTGGCTGGAATTAGACATGTCAGTCATCATGCCCAGTTAATTTTTGTATTTTTTTTTTTTTTTTGAGACGGAGTTTCGATCTTGTTGCCCAGGCTGGAGTGCAATGGCGTGATCTCGGCTCACCGCAACCTCCGCCTCCTGGGTTCAGGCAATTCTCCTGCCTCAGCCTCCTAAGTAGCTGGGATTACAGGCACACGCCACCATGCCCAGCTAATTTTTAGTATTTTTAGTAGAGATGGGGTTTCACCATGTTGACCAGGATGGTCTCGATCTCTTGACCTCGTGATCCACCCACCTCGGCCTCCCAAAGTGCTGGGATTACAGGCTTGAGCCACCGCGCCTGGCCAATTTTTGTATTTTTTAAGTAGAGACAGGGTTTCATCATGTTGAGCAGGCTGGTCTCAAACTCCTGACCTCAGGTGATCCACCCACCTCAGCCTCCCACAGTGTTGGGATTACAGGCATGAGCCACTGCAGCCAGCTTCAATTTATTTTTAATTAAAAAAAAATTTTTTTTAAAAAAATAATTAGAGTCAAGGGTCTTGCTCTGTCACCCAGGCTGGAGTGCATTGGTATGATTACAGCTCACTGCAAGCTTCCACCTCCTGGCCTCAAGCCGTCTTCCCGTCTCAGCTACCTGAGTAGGACTGCAAGCACATGTCACCACATCTGGCTAATTTTTTTCTTTTTTATATATATTTTAAAACAAAGTTTCACTCTGTTACCCAAGCTGGAATGTAGTGGCACAATCACAGCTTACTGTAGGCTCCGCCTCCTAGGCTTAAGCGTTGCAGCCACTTCAGCCTCCCACAACTGGACTACAGGTGTAGACAACCATACATAGTTTTTTTTTTTTTTTTAATTTATTATTTTTTAAGGCTAGTCAAGTGAAGCAGTGGGAGTGGAGAAAGAGTAAAGAAATCTGTAACTGGTTGTGATCAATTAGTTGTAAACACCACTGCACTCGGACCAGACAGCTATTTTTTTTTTTTTTTTTTTTTTTGAGACAGAGTCTCACTCTGTCACCCTGGCTGGAATGCAGTAGTTCAGTCTCAGCTCACTGCAACTTGTACCTCTCAGGTTCAAGTGACTGTCTTGCCTCAGCTTCCAGAGTAGCTGGGATTACAGGCACCACCACCATGCCCAGCTAATTTTGGTATTTTTAGTACTAAGAGACCAGGGTTTTACCATGTTGGCCATGATGGTCTTAAACACCTAACCTCAGGTGATTCGCCTGTCTTAGTCTCCTGAAGTGCTGGGATTACAGGCTTGAGCCACCACGCCTGGCCCTTAGCTAATTTTTAATTTTTTTTGTAGAGACGGAGTTTCCCTATGATGCTTAGGCTGGTTTCGAACTCTTGGGTCCAAGTAATCCTCCTCCCTCCTCAGCTTTCCAAAGTGCTGGAATTACATGTGTAAGCTACTGTGCCTGGTCAGAAATATCTATTCAGTTTGTGGCTTTTTTTCTTCTCCTCCTCCTCCTCCTCCTTTCCCTGCTCCCCTTCCCTCTACTCCCCCCGCTTCCCCCTCCTCATTAGATGTGTGAGCTACTGTGCCTGGTCAGAAATATCTATTCAGTTTGTGGCTTTTTTTCTCCCCGCTCCTCCCTTATTTCTTCTTTTTCTTTTTTTTTTAAGACAGGGATGGGGTCTTGCTATGATGCACAGGCTGGAGTACAATGGCTGTTTATCGGCACTGTCATGGTATACTGCAGTCTTGAACTCCTGGGCTCAAGCGATCCCTCTGCCTCAGCTTCCTGAGTAGTTAGGATGTAAGCAGGTCTTACTGCGCTTGGTTCTGTGGCATTTTTTTTTGTTGTTTTGTTTTTTGTTTGCTTGTTTGAGACAGAGTTTCTCTCTTGTTGCCCAGGCTGGAGTGCAATGGCACAATATCGGCTCACTGCAACCTCCGCCTCCTGGGTTCAAGTGATTCTCCTGCCTCAGCCTCCTGAGTAGCTGGGATTACAGGCTCCCACCACCACCCCCAGCTAATTTTTTGTATTTTTAGTAGAGGTGGTGTTTCACTATGTCGGCCAGGCTGGTGTTGAACTCCTGACCTCAGTTGGTCCACCTGCCTTGGCCTCCCAAAGTGCTGGGATTACAGGAGTGAGCCACCATGCCCAGCCAGTTCTGTGGAGTTTTTATACTATGCTGCCAAGCTGTTAACAGGAGTGAAGCAAATCTATTCATAATAATCCCTGACTAGATCTCTAAGACTTAACACTGAGCAAAATAGCAAATAGTAGGATGATACATTTCCATACATTTTATATAAATAAATACACACAGGTGTGCCATGCATATACTTACATATGCATACCAGAACTGTTCAGTTAAATATATATATGTATATAAGAGGAGAGAGAAGGGCTTGACATAATATTTCTCAAACTTTCCAAGATAGTTTGTTACCTTGGGCCAGGAAGAGAGAGAATGAAGATGGTGGTGGAAGTAGGGTATGATCTAAAGGGGCTTTTGTTTTATTTATGACATTTTACATAGTGTTTATGTACTATTTGGCTAATAAAAAGTACATAAATAGTATTTATGTGCTATTTGGCTAATATTCAGTTTCTCTAGCATAATAAACCGGAATAATGTTTCTCATATCTTAAATTCATGTTGAAGTTTACATTTTCTCTTGTAGGTATTGTAATTAAAATGTAATTACAATCTGAAAAAAATAAGAACATGGGATCTGTAGCAGGAGATGGGTTGATGGGTTAGAATCCATGCTTCGTGCCCCCTGGCAAGTAAACGTATATTCATTGACTCCGTTTATAGCTCAGTTTTATTTTGTCTTGGGTCCTTTCTCTTTTTCAAAATAATTTTATTATTTTTAATACTTTATAACAGTTCCAATAGCATGAAGGTTTATAAAGTTAAAATGAACTTATCTCCGCTGTTCACCTCAGACTACTGACTCAAGGAGGTCATGTTAGTACATGTCCTTTTCCTGCTCAACTTCTTGTTCTGATACTTTCTCCTACCGCACCCAGTAAGCTGGGCTTCAGTCTTCTCTGGTTCATGGCGGAGCTCCTTCCTCCATGGGAAAGGGAAGTCTTCATTTTGAAGCATCCATGGCAGGGGCCTGCAGGCTTGCTTTGTGTCACCTCCTACCCGAAATTGTGATTTAGTAGGTCTGGAGTTCTTCTTGGGCATCTTTATTTTATAAAAAGTTCCCATGGTGATTCTGGTGAACCAGCAGGGTGAAGAGTCATTTATCTGGGGAGTAGCAGAGAAATCATAAATTGTACCCATGCTGCTGCTTTGAGAATTATTTTTGGTAGCTGCTTTATGAGAGTGATGAGCCTGTCAGCTTTATGGAAACAAGCCTGAACTTAGGTCTGTTTTCTTCCAGGAATTTCACAGAACTTTTACTTTAGGTTATTTTCAGCATTTGTGTTTTTCTAACTAAATATTCGATATGGAGCTGCTATTTGAGTCTGAGAAAGTGATTGTGAATTCTTTTTTGAAAATGATGAAAATAAACAGTACTCGGCAAACTTAGTTTGTAAACTCTTGCCATTTCCCATTGAAAATGGGTGGATATAGTAAAAATGACAGGTGATAAATCTTCCCCAGCCAGAGTATCCTTGGGTCTTGCTTTAAAAATGCTTTACTTCCCCAACTGTCTGACTTTTGTACTTTATTTTAGTGTGTTTGCCTGAGATGTGAGCGAGAAATTCATGTGACTCAAAACTTAACTCTAACTTACTATTCTTTTTTTTTTTTGAGACGGAGTTTCGCTCTTGTTAACCAGGCTGGAGTGCAACGGCACGATCTCGGCTCACCGCAACCTCCGCCTCCTGGGTTCAGGCAATTCTCCTGCCTCAGCCTCCTGAGTAGCTGGGATTACAGGCACGCACCACCATGCCCAGCTAATTTTTTGTGTTTTTAGTAGAGACGGGGTTTCACCAGGTTGACCAGGATGGTCTCGATCTCTTGACCTCATGGTCCGCCCACCTCAGCCTCCCAAAGTGCTGGGATTATAGGCGTGAGCCACCGCGCCCGGCCTCTTAACCAGGCTGGAGTGCAATGGCGCGATCTCGGCTCACCGCGACCTCCGCCTCCTGGGTTCAGGCAATTCTCCTGCCTCAGCCTCCTGAGTAGCTGGGATTACAGGCACGCACCACCATGCCCAGCTAATTTTTTGTATTTTTAGTAGAGACGGGGTTTCACCATGTTGACCAGGATGGTCTCGATCTCTCGACCTCGTGATCCACCCGCCTCGGCCTCCCAAAGTGCTGGGATTACAGGCTTGAGCCACCATGCCCGGCTAACTTAACTATTCTTATGTTTGCATGCATAAAACTTGCAGAACTCTGTAAAAGCCATTTAGATACATTATTGGTCATATTTAGTTTCTCTAGAATAATAAAACTGAGTAATCTTTCTCATATCTTAAATTTATGTTAAAGTTTACATTTTCTCTTGTAGGTATTCTCATGGGAGCAGTTATAAAAATCATAGAGTTTAAAAAACTGGCGAACTGGAAGGTAGGTTTGCCCAACTGTTTGTTTTTAATGTAATCGCAGTTTTTAGTTGTTCTTAATTTTAGTTAACAGTGATGGTTATGCTGACTTTTTTGTAATTACTTGGCTATCAGTGGAGTTGTTTATGTAATTATATATCCCATTAATTTTTTAAGATTTTATTAGATACAGTTGATGCCTTTTTATCTAAGTTTTTGCAAAAGCATAAATCTCATACTGTTTCAAGTCAGCGTGGGAGCACCAATGTCATTTTTTTTTTGTTATTTTACTTGCATTTTTACAATCCTAGACTAACCTACTTTATGAGGCAGGAAAATTCTCTAATTAGCATTAAACATTAAATACTGTTTATTGCTCCCAATTCCATTTTGACAGCTGAGGATAATAAAACATACTTGTCCAGTACTTTGAGACACAGTACTTCACGTATTGTAGCTCGTATTATCCTCATGATAGTCATGTGAGGTGGATTGACTGAGTATTGTAATTTCATCACCCTGTTTTTACAGATGTAAAAAGTGACATTCAGGGAGATTGGGATGTATTCAGTGTCACAGAGCTGGAAAGAAAGTAGCTGAGTGGAGTCTTGTGTCCAAATCCCCCAGCCTGAACATGCAGTGTTCTCTCCACCATACCACACTGTCCTCGGTTTCCTGATACACATACCCTTGTGTTTATGCAGAGGTTATTAGAGTATGAGCGTCATCCTCGGGATGATGGACTCATTGAAACTGGAAATTCAACTTCAACTTGAGCATCCATGTTGAGTAGGGCAAGATTAGCAAGTATGCTACAAAATTGATTTTGTAGAGGTAAATAAGATTCATTTCAAAATAATAAATAATTAGATGGCTAAAATTGATCACATTTGAGCCCTTCCTACTTTGATGCAGCTCCTAGGTGCTAGGATTAATTTACCTGTGAAACTGTAGAGTATAAAATTAGCAAGACAAACCTTATAGTGTAACGTAAAACACAATTTGAAGCTGTTATAAATGGTAGTAATGAGGCCGGGTGCGGTGGCTCACGCCTGTAATCCCAGCACTTTGGGAGGCCGAGGCGGGCGGATCATGAGGTCAAGAGATCGAGACCATCCTGGTCAACATGGTGAAACCCCGTCTCTACTAAAAATACAAAACATTAGCTGGGCATGGTGGCACGTGCTTGTAATTCCAGCTACTCAGGAGGCTGAGGCAGGAGAATTACCTGAGCTCAGGAGGCGGAGGTTGCGGTGAGCCGAGATCACGCCATTGCACTCCAGCCTGGGTAACGAGAGCGAAACTCCGTCTCAAAAAAAAAAAAAATAAAAAATAAAAAAATAAATGGTAGTAATGAAATATTTTATATATTAAATAAATTTTCAAAATGTATTTTGAGCTCCGAATAGTGATAGGACACACCTTGGCTGTGGAGGCCTCACTGGAGCACATTACATGTGGGATCTCTGCCTTCCTGTGACTTGGTTACATTTAACCACTCTAAGAGTGGGTCAGTACTGACTGGAGAGCCTTTCTCTACTCCTAGACTGGATATAGCCTGATGTGTAGATTTTGCCCACTAACCCATTTTGTTTGATCTGATTTAAAAATCAGTTGATCAAGATTGGGCGTGGTGGCTCATGCTTGCAATCCCAGCACTTTGGGAGACCGAGATGTGTGGATCACCTGAGCTCAGGAGCTCAAGGCCAGCCTGGGCAACGTGGGGAAACCCCGTCTCTACAAAAATAGAAAAAAATAAAAAATAAAAATGCAGTTGATCAAAATTTAAATTGACTTCAAAACACTTAAAAATTGTTAGATTTTGGCTGGGTGCGGTGGCTGATGCCTGTAATCCCAGCACTTCGAGAGGCCAAGTTGGGCGGATCACCTGAGTTCAGGAGTTCGAGACTGGCCTGGCCAACATGGTGAAACCCCATCTCTACTAAAAATAACAAAAAATTAGCTGGGCATGGTGGCATGCACCTCTAGTCCCAGCTACTTGGGAGGCTGAGGCATGAGAATTATTTAAACCTGGGAGGCAGAGGTTGCAGCGAGCCAAGATTGAGCCACTGCACTCCAGTCTGGGTGACAGAGTGAGACTCTGTCTCAAAAAAAAAGTTAGATTTTAAAATATTACCAGTCCATATAAAATTCTGGAAATTTTACATAAAATCTGGAACTTCTAGCTTCTCTTGGAAAAGTGGAAGCTCTCTTAATACTAGGTCCAGCAGTGATCAGAGCCAGTGAGCAGGGGCTCATCTCCCAAGTCATGCAGTGTAGCCCCAAGAAATCTTTGCTTGTGACCTCTGCTCTAAGCAGTGGGAGGTGATCTTTCACTTCTAGTTTTATATGCATCAGTGTTACCGAATTTATTTTCCAATAGATGTTACAAAGATATAATAGAATGTATTTAATAGTACAGATCGTGAAACCAAAGTTAGGTGATGGATGTGATTAAGTGCCTAAAGTGTCATCCAGACAACCAGTGCTTGACTTCAGAAAAAGGCAGTATTGGGGATGTTGGCACGTGCCTGTGGTCCCAACTACTTGGAAGGCTGAGGCAGGAGGATTGCTTGAGCCTAGGAGTTTGAGGCTGCAGTTAGTTATAATTGTACCACTGCAATCCAGCCTGGGCAACAGAGCTGTCTCTAAAAAAAAAAAAAAAAAAAAAAAGAAAGAAAGTTGGGGCAGGCTTCCTGGAGGAGCCTGCATTTGTAGAGAGTCAGAGTGGGAAGCAGGACACCTGTCTGGAAACCAGATGGGCAGGGAGCAGTGGGAAGTCAGAAAAACAGTAGCTGTTGGTTTCTTTCCATGAAGTTCTGCTTCCAAACTGACCTGCTGGGTCTGCCTTCTATTTGTATTATCATGTGCTTAATATTTTTCTATCAACTTGCTTTTTAATTGTAAATACATATACGCATTTATATTCTCTCTATACATATTTTATTTATTTATTTAATTTATTTGAGACAGAGTCTTGCTTGAGACAGTCCAGCCCAGGCTGGAGTGCAGTGGTGCAATCTCAGCTCAATGCACCCTCCGCCTCCCGGGTTCAAATAATTCCCCTGTCTCAGCCTCCTGAGTGTGGGCAGAACAGACGTGCACCACCATACCTGGCTAATTTTTGTATTTTTAGTAGAGGCAGCGTTTCACCATGTTAGCCAGGTTGGTCTCAAACTCCTGACCTCAAGTGATCCACATGCTTTGGCCTCCCAAAGTGCTGGGATTACAGGCATGAGCCACTGTGCCTGGCTGTGGCTAATTTTTAAAAAAATTTTTTGTGGCTGGGCGTGGTAGCTCATGCCTGTAATCCCTGCACTTTGGGAGGCCAAGACGGGTGGATCACAAGATCAGGAGTTCAAGACCAGCCTGGCTAGCATGGTAAAACCCTGTCTCTACTAAAAAAATACAAAAAATTAGCCAGACGGGGTGGGGTGTGCCTGTAATCCCAGCTACTCAGGAGGCTGAGGCAGGAGAATCACTTGAACCCAGGTGGCAGAGGTTGCAGTGAGCCTGGATTGTGCCACTACACTCCAGCCTGGGCGATAGAATGAGTCTCTGTCTCAAAAAAAAAAAAAAAAAAAAAAATTGTCTGGGTGCGGTGGCTCACACCTGTAATCCTAGCACTTTGGGAGGCCGAGGTGGGTGGATCACCTGAGGTCAAGAGTTCAAAACTAGCCTGGCCATCATGGTGAAACCCCATCTTAAAAAAAAAAAAATTTTTTTTTGTAGAGATGGGATGTCACTATGCTGCCCAGGCTGATCTTGAACTCCTAAGCTCACGCGCTCTTCCTGCCTTGGCCTCCCGAAGTGTTAGGATTATAGGCGTGAACCACCCCGCCTGTCCTATATACTTTTTTTTTTTTTTTTTTTTTTGCCGGGGGCAGGAGGGCTGGGGACAGTCACTGCGTTGCCCAGGCTGGAGTGCAATGGCATGGTCTCAGCTCACTGCAACCTCCACCTCCTGGGTTCAAGCAATTTTCCTGCCTCAGTCTCCTGAGTAGCTAGGATTACAGGAGCCTGCCACCACTCCCGGCTAATTATTGTATTTTTAGTAGAGACAGGGTTTCACCAGGTTGGCCAGGCTGGTCTCCAAGTCCTGACTTTGTGATCTATCTTCCTTGACTTCCCAAAGTGTTGGGATTACAGGCATGAGCCACTGTGCCTGGCCATATTTATTTTCAAGGCAACATTAGTACTATTTTAATTCAGAAACTAATATTGTTTTGTAAACATGATAAAAATGAAGTAGTACAGATGCCTGCTGAAGCATCAGGGCAGCTGAAGCTGCTCTCTGTCAAGGGAGATCAGCACGTTGGAGAGAGCCCTTAGAGGCGGTATTGCCATCCTAAGATGTTTGATTTATTTGGGACTGAAGAAATAATCAAAAGGGGCTGACTTTCAATCCATGAGGTCAGTGGTATTTGACACACATTGCTCAAGTGCCACCTAAAACCACCTCAGACCATTTTGGGGGCGTCATTGACAAGAGGAGCTTCAACACTATTTCCTGAAAGGCGGTGTATTCATAAGGGCTGCAGTAACAAATTACCACAAACTGAGTGGCTTAAAACAACAAAGATTTGTTTTCTCACAGTGCTGGAGGCCGGAAGTGAGAAGTCAAGGTATCCGTAGGACCAGGTTCCCTTCAAAGACTCTAGAAAAAGAATTCTTCATTGTGTCTTCCAGCTTCTGGTGGCCCAGGTTTTCCTTGGCTTGTGGCTGCATCAGTCCTGTCTCTGTGCTCACATGGGCTTCTTCTCTGTGTGCCTTGTTCTGTCTCTTACAAGTCAACGTTTGCTGCATTTGGCTTTCCCTTATCTAGTGTGATGTCATCTAGATCCTTACCTTCATTAGATCTACAGAGATTCTGTTTCCAAATAAGGTCACATTCTGAGGTTCCTGGTAGACATGAATTGGGGTGGGGGTTGGGGTACACTGTGTAACCCCATTGTAGTTAGATTCTCCTTTTTCCCAGGAGAGATTAGTTTTGTACCTGCAAAAGGCTGTATATAGTGGTCCTGCTGCACAGATCCTGGGAATAGGTTGCCCCATAAAACCCAGAGCTTGGCCCATTTTTTTTCACACAGTCCCAGTCTGAATCATGAGCTTGTTGTACATGCTGCTATTTTTAAACTTAATAAGGCATTTCAGAAGTCATCATTTGCTTCTATTTTGAGCCTTTTTTGAATATTTTTTAGTCTTTATGGTAACAGCTGTACATTTGTAGGAATACATTTAGGCATTCTTTGGAATAGGGGTTTTGACAGGAAATTAGACCGTCAAAATTGTGACATGGGAAAATATTCATATGAAAAAGGGCCTGATTTTGTTTTTTTTTTTTTTTCTGAGATGGAGTTTTGCTCTTGTTGCCCAGGCTGAAGTGCAATGGCGTGATCTTGGCTCACTGCAACCTCTGCCTCCTGGGTTCAAGCAATTCTCCTGCCTCAGCCTCCCAAGTAGCTGAGATTATAGGCATGCACCACCACGCTCAGCTAATTTTGTGTTTTTAGGAGAGATGGGGTTTCTCCATGTTGGTCAGACTGGTATCGAACTCCCGACCTCACGTGATCTGCCCACCTGAGCCTCTCAAAGTGCTGAATTAAAGGTGTGAGCCACTATACCGGGCCTGATTTTGCATGTTTAAATAGACTGTGTATTACACATAACCATTTTGGGCTTGAGGACCAATAAATATTTTCCCCAAATTCTACCAACAACTAGAGAGATATATTAATAATATAGAAAATGAAATTGTTATTGTTTCACCCCTCCAAAGATGGCTGGTTATATTCTAGAAACATCTTTCCTAATGGCATTTAATATTCAAGTCTGGAAGCATGGTGCTGTGGTTTGGGTGTTTGTCTCCCCAAACCTCATGTTGAAATTTGATCCTAGTGTTGGAGGTGTTTGGGTCATGGGGGCGGACCCTTATGGAGAGACTGATGCTCTTGCTGGGTGCTGGGTGGTGGGTGAGTTCTTACTCTGTTAGTTCCCTATACAGCTGATTGTTAAAAAGAGCCTAGTCCTGCCTCCCTGCCCCCCGCTTCCTCTCTTGCCATGAATCTCTGCACACTCTGGCTCCCCTTCTCTTCCTCCCTGAGTGGAAGCAGCCGAAGGTTCTTACCAGATACCCAGTCTTGAACTTTCCCAGACAGCAGAATCATGAGCCAAATAAATATTATTCATTTGTAAATTACCCAGCCTCAGGCGTTCTTTTAGAGCAAGACACATACATGGTAAGGGGCTGTCTTTCCAGCCAAATCCCAAGTCCAAAGAGCATCCACCGGGGACTGTTTCATCATATCAGACTTCGGAAAATGGCAGAGTTGTCTGTGACAAACAGAAAGAAGACAGAGCTATTTTAACCATATGTAGGATTTACTGTTCCTCTGAGTGGATTGTTTTAGGACTTACCATTACTGTACTTTTTTCCTGGAGGATTCCAATTTGTGGACTTGTTTTGAAAGTATGCAACCAGAATTGAAATGTTCTATATTCAGATTAATTTTCTTTCTCTACTAAGGAATAAAAAACATACTACTGTGTGTTTGGAAGCAGTTTGTTGTGCTATTTCTTTTTACCAGTCACCTTTAAAATCCTTGTCCATGCCTGTAATCTCCTAGCTTTTGGAAGCTTGGGTTGGGAGGATTGCTTGAGGCTAGGAGTTTAACTAGACTGGGCAACACAATGGGACCTTGTATCTACAAACAAAAAGAAAAGAAAAAAAATTAGCTTAGAGTGGTGGTGCGAACGCATAGTCTCAGCTCCTCAGGAGGCTAAATGAGAGGATCACTTGAGCCCCGGAGGTTGAAGCTGCAGGGAGCTGTGATTGCACCACTGCACTGTAGCCTGGGCAACAGAGCAAGACTGTCTCAAAATAATAATAATAATAATAATAATAAAATGCAGTTTTTTTTTTTAGTGTGGGGGGGACCTCTCATTCTGCTAGATTTTATTGTCAAGTAGTTATTTAAATAGTATACGTTTCTACTATACCAGGCCCTGAGAGGAGAATTATTTTGGCTCTTTATTGATGAATTTATTTCTTACTTACATAAATTTCATGCCTCTTAAGATACCCATTTTCTATTTACAGGAAGAAGAAATGTTTCGTCCAAACATGTTTTTCCTCCTCCTGCTTCCCCCTATTATCTTTGAGTCTGGATATTCATTACACAAGGTGAGACTCTGGCACACATTGGTGCTTTGGTCTGAGGGGTTTCTCATGTTGTCAGGCAAGTTCCTTAAAAGCTTGGGTGTTAATTTAGCAGCAGCAGCAGCTCTGCTCCTTCTTGAGTGTGCTCAATGGAAGCTGGACTACAGTGCCTGACTTCTGGAGAGGAGCAGACGTGATCAGTTGGCTGCTTGAATGGTTTCAGGCAGGGTGGCTCACTGAGCCTGTGTTTTCTGTAAACATGTGCCTTACCCAGGAAGATGGCTGAAGTGATGTTAAGTGGTGCACAAATGATGCATTGACTCGTCTTATTGGACACAGACTGATACATGTAAAGAGGATAGACTGTGTCCTGGGATGCCGGGGACATGTGCCCCAGGGCTTTTGCTTCTTTCAGCTGCCCCACTGGGGCCTTTCTAACCTCCTCAGGCCCATCCATCCTTCCTTGTCTCCCTCTCAGTGCCCTCCCCTGGTGTCAGATCCCAGCTTGATATTATCCTTCCTCCCCCAGTCTCTTGTCTCCTCTTGCCCACTCCCTGGTCTAGCTTCTCAGGCTGGAGCCCCATCCTTCCTTGCCTGGTCCCACAGTTGCCCCACCAATTCTTGCCTCCTTGCCCTGGCAAGCAGTGGCGGTGGCCCCTGCCCACTTCTCTGCTTTGGCTTGGCCTTGATGGCCTTTGCCTTGCAACTCCCAGTATGAGTATTTATTTATTTATTTTGAGATGGAGTCTTGCTCTGTTGTCCAGGCTGGAGTGCAGTGGCATAATCTTGGTTCACTGCAACCTCTGCCTCGTGGATTCAAGAGATTCTCCTGCCTCAGCCTCCTGAGTAGCAGAGATTACAGGTGCGCACCACCACACCCAGCTAATTTTTGTATTTTTTGTAGAGACGGGGTTTCACCATGTTGGCCAGGCTGGTCTCAAACTCCTGACCTCAAGTGATCCATCCACGTCAGCCTCCCAGAGTGCTGGGATTACAGGTGTGAGCCACCACACCCAGTTCCCCAGTGTGAGTCTTTCTGCCTGGGCAGGAGCTTTTCAGTTTTAAGCCTGTTTATGTGAGTTTTTTTCCTTGTCTATGAGTTTTTTTTAAACATAATGTATTTCAGTTTTAAAATAAAGTGATTCAACTTAAAGTACGAGTATTGGCTGGGTGCTGTGGCTCATGTCTATTAACCCAGCACTTTGGGAGGCCAGGGCAGCCAGATCACATGAGATCAGGAGTTCAAGACCAGCCTGACCAACATGGAGAAACCCCATCCCTACTAAAAATAAAAAATTAGCCAGGCCAGCTGGCACATGCCTGTAATCCCAGCTACTGGGGAGGCTGGGGCAGGAGAATTGCTTGAACCCAGGAGATGGAAGTTGCAGTGAGCTGAGATCGCACCATTGCATGCCAGCCTGGGCAACAAGAGAGAAACTTCACCCCTCCCCAAAAAAAAAAAACAAAAAAAAAACCTAATGTTAATAATACAACAGCTCTTTTGTGAATGTTATGGTTTTTTTTTTAATTGTGAAGATTTGAAACTTTAGGGCAGCCCTTGGAGAGAGGAAAGCTAGAGAGACACAACACAGGGCTAATCATGTGCTGCCCTCTACAGGTTTCTTTTTGGTAAAGTTAAAAACCCTAAAACTCTACCTCCCAGGATGCTTTGAGATTTACATTAGATGAAAGAATGTAGGTAGATCACCACTCACCACACTAAATAAATAGAGTGCTGCTTCTTGTTGTTATTAATGATAAAAATGTTATCTATTGTTAATAACAATATTACCACCAGTAGTAGTAATAATAACTTATTAAACTTAATATGTTCAGGCAGTGGCTCATGTCTGTAATCCCAGCACTTTGGGAGGCCAAGGTGGGTAGATCACTTGAGGTCAGGAGTTCAAGAGTAGCCTGGCCAACATGGCAAAACCCCATCTCTACCAAAAATACAAAAATTAGCCAGGCGTGGTTGTGCATGCCTGTAATTCTAGCTACTCTAGAGGCTGAGGCATGAGAATCACATGAACCTTGGAGGTAGAGCTTGCAGTAAGCTGAGATTGTGCCACTGCACTCCAGCTTGGGTGATAGAGGGAGACTTTGTCTTAAAAATAAATAAATAAAAATAAGCTTAACTTGTTGTTGACATGGTATAAATAAACAAATAATTTTTTTAAATGAGTTAGATTTGTCTAGAAATTTTTGGTAAAACAAGGAAATTAAGTCTTTAATTTTTCTGTACTAAAACAAAAATATATTAAAATGTTCAGTCCAGATGTTTTTTAAAGTCATAATTTTATTGTGCATCTATCCAAAGAAAAAGTGAAAAGGAAGTTATTTATTTTATTTTATTTTTATTCTTTTTTTTTGAGACAGAGTTTCACTTTTGTAGCCCAGGCTGGAATGCAAGAGCGTGATCTTGGCTCACCGCAACTTCCATCTCCTGGGTTCAAGCAGTTTTCCTGCCTCAGCCTCACGAGTATGTGGGACTACAGGCATGTGCCACCATGTCTGGCTAATTTTTGTATTTTTAATAGAGACGGGGTTTCACCATATTAGCCAGGCTGGTCTTGAATTCTTGAGAACCTTGTGATCTGCCCTCCTTGGCCTCCTAAAGTGCGGGAATTACAGGCATGCACCACCACACCCAGCTGAAAAGGAAGTTTAGTGTAAAAAATATTCACAAGTCTTACAAACTGTTACTGACATCAGATAATTTTAAAAAAAGAAACAAGGAAACATTAAGTTGAAGGTCACCATGTCTTTCCTTCTTTTACTTTGTAAACAAATCTTAACTGTAAGCAGATTATGAAATATTTCAAAACATGCTGAGGAAATTGACTTGATTTTGACTATTTGAGCATGTGAAGTTTTTATTTTCTATTTTTTTGCAGGGGAGGGAAGGGAGATAAACTTGTGCAAAATTTGAGCAAAGTAGTAGTTTCTTAGAAAAACATTTTGTTGAAGATTACTTTCCAGCAGAAAATGTGACAATTTATGTGAAAGGGACTGATAGGATGATGAAATGCCAATTCTGAAACTTTTGTCTGCTTTCTATCCTCCCCCAAAGATGATAGGAAATAAACTTTGAATGTTTTATTTTAATATTGTGATACTTGCTAATGTAAATTTGGACCTGGAATACAAATTTCAGTAAGATTATCATCAGTTGATATGCATTAGCTAGGCAGCTACTGGTTCTTTAAATTGTAAGTATTACACAAATAATAGGGTGTTAATTATGTCTAAAAGAAGCAGATAAATTTGCTTTATGTAGCAGAGGGAAGTTCTTGTGGTGTGATAACTTGAATTTGGGTAAATGTTCAGGAACCAGATTAATATTAACTATATAAATTATATCAACATTAGCTCTCTGCACAGGTCAAAACTGATAATCTGTTTTTTTTTTTTTTTTTTTTTTTTTTTTGAGACGGAGTTTCGCTCTTGTTACCCAGGCTGGAGTGCAATGGCGCTGTCTCGGCTCACCGCAACCTCCGCCTCCTGGGTTCAGGCAATTCTCCTGTCTCAGCCTCCTAAGTAGCTGGGATTACAGGCACGAGCCACCATGCCCAGCTAATTTTTTGTATTTTTAGTAGAGACGGGGTTTCACCTTGTTGACCAAGATGGTCTCGATCTCTTGACCTTGTGATCCACCTGCCTCGGCCTCCCAAAGTGCTGGGATTACAGGCTTGAGCCACCGCGCCCGGCTGATTAATCTGTTTTTTTTTTTTTTTTTTTTTTTTTTTTTGAGATGGAGTTTCGCTCTTGTTACCCAGGCTGGAGTGCAATGGCGCGATCTCGGCTCACCGCAACCTCCGCCTCCTGGGTTCAAGCAATTCTCCTGCCTCAGCCTCCTGAGTAGCTGGGATTACAGGCACGTGCCACCATGCCCAGCTAATTTTTTTGTATCTTTAGTAGAGACGGGGTTTCACCATATTGACCAGGATGGTCTCGATCTCTCGACCTCGTGATCCACCCGCCTCGGCCTCCCAAAGTGCTGGGATTACAAGCTTGAGCCACCGCGCCCGGCCGAGATTGAAAGCCCTTTTTTTTGAAAAACTAAATCATTGTGTTTGCCTTGAGTTATTTTAAAATTCTTTGTGCAGTAAAGATTGATATGCTAAACAAAGGAATTGAATGTCAGATTATAGGCAGCCAAGTCAAAATTGCAAAGAAACTTCCAGGAGGTAGGTGTAGTGGGGGCAGTTAGTGTTTAGCTGAGGACACTCTTTCACAAGAGAGCTTTAAAATGCCAGGTCCTGATGTCCCTGGTTGGCAGTTTCTGAGCTAAAAACAAGATTCTTGTTCACAGCCACAATTGGGGGTGATCAAAGCCTCTTGGTAGCTCCTAAATGGAGTCCATAGGATTATAATAAATAGCTTAATTTCCTTAATTTTATGGAAATTTGAAAGATGTTACCATACTGTTTGGACTTGAATATTTAAATGCTGTGAAGTACAGATGGAAACATTTTATCTGTCATCTGTTAATGATGATACTAATAGAGTGAAGTAAAATTGTTTAACAGAGCTGGCCAGGAAAAAGCACTCTGTGATAGTGTATCTTGATATCCTAATTCTGTGGACTTTGGGCCTTAGATGTGAAACAGTTAATTCCTTCGGTGCCTGTCTGTTGGGCATCCTCCATCTGATGGGCGTTATGTCAGGGACTGTGTTGTGCACAGATGTGGTCATTGCCCAGAGCCTGCAACCTCATGGGAAGGTCAGACATCAATTACATAAGTAAGAGCAAAGTTGCAGCCTTGTCAATGGCAACAAGAGAGGGTGACTGTGCCCTGAGAGCATAGACTAGGATCTGAGCTGGGAGCTGGCTTAGGGATCGGGAAGAGGTGAAATGACCTGAGATCTCGGGATGATGAAAGCTTAACAAGCAAAGAGGGAGCACAACCTGCTAGAAGCCACCAGTGGGACTGGAGCCCAGAGAACAAAGGTGAACCTGGTCCCAGATGAGCCCAGAGCCTCCTCAGGGGTCGAGTCATCCAGGGTGGGGACTAGCTGCATTTTTTTTTTTTTTTTTTTAGACAGAGTCTTGCTCTGTCACCAGGTACCAGGCTGGAATGCAGTGGCTCGATCTCAGCTCACTGCAACTTGCGCCTCCCAGGTTCAAGCAATTATCCTGCCTCAGCCTCCTGAGTAGCTGCAACTACAGGTGCACACCACCACGCCCAGCTAATTTTTCTGTATTTTTAGTAGAGACAGGGTTTCACCATGTTGGCCAGGATGGTCTCTATCTCTTGACCTCGTGATCCGCCCGTCTCGGCCTCCCAAAGTGCTGTGATTACAGGCGGGAGCCACTGTGCCTGGCCTAGCTGCAATTTAAGTGGAAGCAGGGGTCCAGGTGAAGGCAGCACCATCAGATTTGTCTTTTGTGAAGATCATTCTGGAAGTACTGGATCGTGGAGGGAAAGGGACTTGGAGGTGTTGAGGTGACTTGTGCGAAACTGTGCAGTGATCCAGGTGAAAGATGATATGAGTGAGGGGACACTGCAGTAGGTGGGGGGAGTGTGGTGCAAGAAGACTCCCAGACTCCCAGCTTGCCACGCAGGGTGGGCAGCGGTGCCTTTTACCAAGAATCAAGTCTGCAAGGAGGGCAAGGTGTGCAGGCCATGCCTTCACTGACAGGACTGGCTTTCTAATCATTTCCCTGATTTCTGCTCTTTCAAACAGGGTAACTTTTTTCAAAATATTGGTTCCATCACCCTGTTTGCTGTGTTTGGGACGGCAATCTCTGCTTTTGTAGTAGGTGGAGGAATTTATTTTCTGGGTCAGGTAAGAAGATCATCTTTGGAATACTTTGAAAGTCTTACATTCTTAGAGCTAGTGCTGGGAAATGGGAAGGTAAAATGGGGCCACTTAGTGGAGCCTGGGTTTCATCCTTAGGGTAAATTCCTTCTGGAAGGAAATCCTAGCTTCGTATGAGGCACAGTAGAGGCTAAATTGTTTCAACGTGTCCCCCAGAACTTTGGTATCTGGAATTTAGTAAAGCTTTTCTATACTCCCCTCCCCCACCATAGTATTTGATTTTATTTGCAAACCAATGCTGCCTTAAACTGGAATACCTAAAAATAAAGCCTAATAGATGCCATCAAGAACTTCAGACAGTTGTGTTGTCAGGTAGACCAAATTGGGTTGAATGCTGTTTTTTAATAAAAATTTGCATTTTAAAATCAAACGTGCTTTTCTGCTGGCATTGGAGAAATACTAAAATCAAAGATGATTCTGAATCTGTTCACTCAATTCTAAGCTGTCTACCTGTAGAATTATATAGTCTGGATTTTCCACAATTACTAAACCACGTCCCAGTGGTATCAGTTGGGTGTTCTCTACTTTAGACTTCAAATTAATTCAAATTAATGTAGACCAAACATCCCTAGGAAGGTAGTATCTGTAGTTTTGCATTATGCATGTCCACGCATGTCACATCTTTTCCTTTATTGTCAGTTGCAGAAAGTTTGCCTGTCCCAGTTCTGAAAACTGAGTTGAGGGTCAGGTGTCTGGGTGACAGGCAGATTTATTTAACACATGTCAGCTGTTTTCTTCTCTCGATAGCCAAAGCCCATTCCATTGGATTTTCGCCTATATTGCTGCTTCGATGGCACCAGAATAAATCTGTCTGTCATGCAGCTTTCTTTATTGCTCAGCTTCTAGTATTAAGTAAGAATAAACTTAAGGAAACTGCAGTTAATTGGGCTTGACAAATATAGCATTCTTTTCCATACTTTTGTTGCATGCTGATGGAATGCATACTTCAACAAAAACTTAGGAGCCTTCTTTATTTTTCAAGTGGTTTGGGAACTGAAGATTAATGTCCTTATTAGTTTTAATAAAGCACTAATGGACATTTAAATCTTCTTGGCTGTTCTCCAGGGTTTTTTTTGTGTGTCTGTGTGTTTGTATGTTTTATTTTACAGGCTGATGTAATCTCTAAACTCAACATGACAGACAGGTAAATCCTTCATATTGTAACACCCATGTGACTGCTTTTCACACAGGGGCACATTTTCTCCACATTGCTTCCTGGGTGTGGTACTGTTCTATTTTCTCTCTGTATATTTAGTTTTGGTAAGGATTTCTGCTGTAGAATCTTAGTCTGAGTTAATTTGTATCTCTGAAATGAATCAAAACTATACTAAAGATTTTTGAAGCTCCCTAGTCGGGCATTGCTGATTGGAATGATTTAGTTTAAGCTTTGGAGGGGGTAACTCTGCTCAGCTAACTGCCCTGCCCATGTGCATACAAACACCTTACCATTGTGTTCTTATTATTTCCAAGACTTTTCAGTCACCGTAACAAAAAGTTGTCTCCTTGATAGATTATGGACGGAGTGGGGAGTGAGGGAGAAACTTTCCTCTGAGATTCCCACCAAGCCTGGGATGGGGGAAGCAGGGCCAAGACCTCTATTGTGGATATTGTAGAAAGCCCCTCCATCCGAAGTCACTCCCGTGAGCACTTCCCATGAGCCCCATCCAAGAATTCCCAGAATTGCATAGTGAGAAGCAGCCTCAGTAGGTTGAGGCAGTTGTCTCTCAGAAGGTACCAGATCTAGTGCTGAAAAAGTGCCCACGCAGAGTGTAGTCTGGGTTCCCCCTTCTGAGAGTACGTAGCCTTGCTCAGTGTGTCTGAATTTACCACCGGCACCTGGTTTGGTCTTGTGGCATGGCTAGGGAGCTGGGCAGCAGGGCCACAAGTTTGTCCCCAGCTCCTTGCCGTAGGGTCACTCAGAGCTTTCAGGATTTAGCAGCAGTTTAGCAACTTGGGACTAGAATCTGGGAACCCTTTTCATGGGAACTGTGTCTCTGATAACAAGTCCAATTCTATTTCCACCTCCGCTCACCACCCACCCCAGCCCAGGACATCAATTTTGGAGCTTTTGTTGTAAGACAGTTTTGATACATAAACAAGTAGCGAAAGCCACATTCCTATTTTGTGGCAGCTGGAAACAAAGCAGAACTGATGTCCTGTGTTTTGTAGGTACTTTGCAAATGAAAAGAAATGCCCAGTAAAGGAAGGTATCACAGTACTCAAACCTTCAACCCATTTTGGGAGCAACTGCTTAGAGATCCAGACAATGCTGGATAACTTTCTGTGAAAGCCACAGACCACCTTTTGCAACCTGTAGAAAACATGAAAATACCTTTGCCGCACACGTTCTGCTTTGTTCTAGTGATACCTTGCTGGAGAGAGATTTCACTCTTGGAGATCCTGAATTATTTCACTACCTTAGTCCATTTCTTTTTCATTTTGTTGATGTTGCTATCTTTTGGGGTTATGGAATTAAAGAAAATACATTTTTAAATTGAACCTCTGGCTTCTGGCCTTTAAAAGATGAGGTCCTGAAGATGCGAAGTGGAACAGCTGACAGGTTAAATGACCCTCTTTCAATACAGACCTCTCAGTGATTCAGCAGTTTGTATTTCAGACTTTTCATCTTCACTGTCAGAAATACTCTGCCTTGGCCCAGGCGCGGTGGCTCAAGCGTGTAGTTCCAGCACTTTAGGGGAGGCTGAGGTGGGTGGATCACAAGATCAAGAGATCGAGACCAGAAATACTCTGCCTTGGCCAGGTGTGGTGGCTCAGGCCTGTAATCCCAGCACTTTGGGAGGGCGAGACAGGTGGATTGCCTGAGGTCAGGAGTTGAGACCAGCCTAGCCAACATGGCAAAACCCCATCTCTACTAAAAAGACAAAAATTAGCTGGGCGTGGTGGTTGGCGCCTGTAATCCCAGCTACTCGGGAGGCTGAGGCAGGAGAATTGCTTGAACCCTGGAGGTGAAGGTTGCAGTGAGCCGAGATCATGCCATTGTACTCCAGCCTGGGAGACAGAGCAAGACTCCATCTCAAAAAACAAACAAACAAAAAAATTCTGCCTCAATTTAGATTTCCAAGCATACTAAATGTGTTACATAGTTTATACAAAGCATTTTCCCCAACCTTTTGTTTGTTTTGTTTCTTTTCAGTTAATTTAGAAAGTTTATTTTGCCAAGGTTGAGGACACCCACCCATGACACAGCCTCAGGAGGTCCCAGTGACGTGTGCCCACAATGGTCAGAGTGATTTTATACATTTTAGGGAGACATGAGACATCAGTTGGCTTACTTAAGATGAATGTTGCCCCAGCCTTTTCTTATGAAAAATTTTAAACATACAGAAAAAGTGAAGCATTGTGCAGTGAATACCCATAAGCAGATTTTTAAAAAATAAAAAGCGTATCCTGCAGGGGTAGGAGAGGCGCAGCACAGGGAACCTTGGGAGTCTGTGGTGGGCCTGAGCTTCACCGAGGCTGGTGTGTAGGGGCATGATCACAGCTTGCTGTAGCCTCAAACTCCTGAGCTCAAGCCATCCTCCTGCCTCAGCCTCCCGAGTACCTCAGACTACAGGTGTGCGCCACCACTTGCAGATAATTTTTGTGTGTGGAGGGATAGGGTTCTCTCTGTATTGCCTGGGCTGGTCCTAAACGCCTGAGCCCAAGCCATCCTTCCATCTCAGCCTCCCAAAGTGTTGAGATTACAGGCGTGAGCCACTGTGCCTGTCCTAGGATACACTTTTTAGACATCATCCTCCTTCCTTCACTGCCTCTGGTGATGTGGCTGCGGTTGATGAGAGTGAGAATAAAAAAGCAACCAGAAGCTCTGTGTCTGGGTTGTGGTGCAAGGGCCTGGGGACCAGCTATCAACAAAAGAGAGTCTCCCAGATGGACACTTGTTTGGTGGAGTTACCTTCCCTTCCTTCTTCCTGCCTGCATGCCTACTTGTCTTCTGCAGGTGTCTCTGGGTCATGTCCAGTACAGACCCTGGGAATTCACCTACGATGAAAATTCAGCATCCACTCCCTTGGAGCTCACAAACCTGTGATGACCTCTGTGAGGGCAGGCAAAGTCTGGGAACTGAATCCTCAGCCTAGGATCCGGAGGTGCTCTGGATTAATGCACATGAATCACATTCACAGGCAGCTACCGTGGAAACCAGAGGTCAAATGATTGACTTATAAGGAGACCTGTACCTGGCAAGGCAGCCAGCCATTTCCTCAGTCAGCTCTCCTCTTCCTGACCCTGCAGCCAAAAGATCACCCATCAAAGGCTGCCCAGACCAAGCGTCCTCTTCCCTCCAGACCCAGGCTTGGTGAGGGTGGGAAGCTCAGGGCAGGCGTGTCTGGCTAATGACTGACACAAGCTGGCCATTGGGGCTCCATGTTTTGGCTGGTGTTGTGGAATGGGGCAGACCCACCCATTCTGCTGCCCTAGAAAGAAATCACACCAGGCATGGCACAGAGACTTGTGGGAAAATCACCAGCGGGCAGTGACAGTTAACCGTCCAGGCTCATGTGGCCCACAAGGCCCTCTGGGGGAGCTGGTCTTGCCTTCCTCGCCAGCCTCCTGTGGTGCTGCCACTCGCCTCACCCCCGCCACCACATGCACCTTCCTCTGTTCCTCAGGCAGCAGGCTTGCTCCCACCTCAGGGGTCACTTGCTGTCATTCTGCCTACAGCTTCTGGCCTGGCGAGCTGCTTCTTACCACGCAGGTTCTTGCTTACGTGGGTCATCTCTTCAGAGAGGCCTCTCCAGACCCCCCAATCTAAGTGGCTTCCACACCTACACCCCCTACCCCACCTTGTCATGTCACCTCAATTGATTTCCTGTGTCACACTTGCTGTTGTCTGAATTTGCCTTCATCTCTTGGTATTGCTGCATCTACCGTTTGGGGTAGCAACACCAACTCTGGGCAGATAGCCGGGCTCTGCCACTTGTTAGCTGAGTGACCTCGGACAAGTTACTTCATCATCCTGTTGTCCTGCAGTGTTCTCCTCTGTCATGGGGGCAGTAGTAGCACTCTCACACATGGTCACTGTCTGGATTGTTGAGTCACCATGTGTGAAGTGCTTAGAACAATGCCGGCCGTGGTAGGTTGCTGTTACTAGCCTCCATGCCTGAAACATTTTAAATAATCAGCACATATCTTCCGGGGTGAGAAGATCTTCACGGGGACTGTCAGGGAGGTCACTGGCCTCAGTGTTTTTACTGCTGTCCACACCACTCACCCCCAAAGTACACTAGGGTTGCTACTGGATTTTGACACTTTCTTGGATGTTACAAATCTGAGTACAGGCTGGGTTTGGTCACAGATAGCACTCCAAGGGCCTGGTGGCAAGGGGCAGAGCAGACGTCAGACACAGGAGCTTTTGAGCCTGTTTGGCTCCAGCTGCTCTGATCCGTGGGACTGGGCGGTGTATAATAAATAGATCTAAGCAAAAATCTCCATCACTGGTAATCACTGGTTAAAGTCGAGTCTCTGTGCTGACAGTAGGAAACCAGGCAATTCCTAACAACTTAATTTAGAGTGGGCCTTTCACACTCCATCCACAATGTCAACAGTATATAAATGGGAAAAAGTACACTACTTTCTATAGTTCAGCTCTAGTGTGTAGTATTGCCTTCTGTTAAATGTGGCCTTTGACTTTAATGCTTTAATATGCGGACCAAGTGACAACGCATTACAGAATCTCCCCTTCCCTCTGTCTCTTACAGTTTTGCGTTTGGCTCCCTAATATCAGCTGTTGATCCAGTGGCCACTATTGCTATTTTCAATGCACTTCATGTGGACCCGGTGCTCAACATGCTGGTCTTTGGAGAAAGTATTCTCAACGATGCAGTCTCCATTGTCCTGACCAAGTAAGTACGAGGGCAGAGAACAGACGTTTTTCATGTGACAGAACTTAGAGGTCCTTGTAACAAAGGGGCAGATATTTCCACGCTGCATGTGTACAGTTGCTTGTCCTCTCGGTGATCAGTTCACCCAATATCTTTCTCCATCTTTCTGTCCTGACAAGCCTTGACATGCCGCCAGAATGTGGTCAAGGTTTAGGGGTGGTTAGTAGAGGTGTGTCCACCTTTTTTTTTTTTTGACACAGGCTCTTGCTCTGTCACCCAAGCTGGAGTGTGGTGGCTCCATCACAGCTTACCACAGCCTCAACCTCCTGGGTTCAAGTGATCAGTTCTCCCACCTCAGCCTCCTAAGTAGCTGGGACTTACAGGCACTTGCCACCACTCCAGGCTAATTTTTAAAAAAGTTTTTTAGAGACAAGGTTTTGCCATGTTGCCCAAGCTGTTCTTGAACTCCTGAGCTCAAGCAGTTTGCCCACCTCAGCCCCTCGAAGTGCTGGGATTACAGGTGTGAGCCATTGTGCCTGGTTACACCCACCTTTTTTGACCTACCTTTTAGTGGTGGTTTTTGAGCCCAGCTTCTCAGCATCACTGAGGGTGCTGATTAAGTGTGACATTCCCAGGCCCCACCCTCAGAGCTTCTGATTAATTAGGTCTGGGGTGAGTCCCAAGAACATAGGTTTTTAATAAGTTCCCCAGATGATGATGAAGCGGCCTGTTGAGGGGTGAGTGTTTGGGCAACATTGGAGACAAAAGCAATAGACAGAGGCCCCACTAGCTGTTGCATGTCACCTTCCTTTTCACAGCTTTAAAATAAGGTGGTAATGCTGATAGCTGCCCGGCCTTAAGAGGCTATTGTATAAATGCCACTTTGGAAACTGCAGTTAGTTTTCAAATATTTGTTGGCATTACTGCCCTAGTTGATGGGATCTGATAAATTAAAGATGGATAATAAAATGTCAAGAAGTCATTGGGGGCTGGGTGTGGTGGCTCACCCCTATAATCCAGCACTTTGGGAGGCCGAGGTGGGTGGATCACCTGAGGTTAGGAGTTCAAGACCAGCCTGGCCAACATGGTGAAACTCCGCCTCTACAAAAACTAATCCCAACTACTCAGGAGGCTGGGGCAGGAGAATCGCTTGAACCCGGGAGGCAGAGGTTACAGTGAGCTGAGATCACACCACTGCACTCCAGCCTGGGCAACAGAGTGAGATTCCATCTTTAAAAAACAAAAGAAGAAGAAAAAGAAGTTATTGGAGGACTGGGCACAGTGGCTCACACTTGTAATGCCATCATTTTGGGAGGCCAAGGTGGGAAGATTGCTTGAGGCCAGGAGTTCGAGACCAGCTTGGATAACAGAGTAAGACTCAATCTGTACAAAACATAAAAAAAATTAGCTGGGTGCTGCCGGGCATGGTGGCTCACACTTGTAATCCCAGTACTTTGGGAGGCCGAGGCAGGCAGATCACAAGGTCAAGAGATCTAGACCATCCTGTCCAACATGGTGAAACCCTGTCTCTACTAAAAATACAAAAATTAGCTGGGTGTTTTGTGGCGAGCACCTGTTGTCCCAGCTACTTAGGAGGCTGAGGTAGGAGAATCGCTTGAACCCAAGAGGTAGAGGCTTGCAGTGAGCCAAGATCGCCCCACTGCACTCCAGCCTGGCGATAGAGCGAGACTCCATCTCAAAAAAATAAAAATTAGCTAGGTGTCATAGCATGTGCCTGTATTCCTAGCTACATGGGATGCAGTGAGTTATGATGGAGCCACTGCACTCCAACCTGGTCAACAGAGTGAGACCCTGTCTCAAAAACAAAACAAAAATTGGAAAGGAAATGCATTTAAGATAATCTCAAATATATTTTTCTGATGCAGGGATATTTCCTTGAGCTCTGCATTTTATGGTTGTTATTAACATGTGGGCAAGAAACCCAAAGAATTTTGCCAAAACTGAGAAGGCGCAGACAAAGTAGTTGAAGGAAGCCAGGCATGGTGGCTTATGCTGTAATTCCAGCTACTCAGAAGGCTGAGGTGGGAGGATCACTTTAGCCCAGATGTTTGAGACCAGCCTGGACAATATAGCAAGACCCCATTCTCCCACCTCCCCAAAAAACTCCAAAACAATTGGAGAAAGAGTCCTGGACAGTGTATCAAAGATGAGCTAAGAGAATGTTAGAGGTCAGTCTGTGTTCTGTTAGATAATAGAATTTCCATTTACCTGAATACTGACTTACTTCCTTTGCTAGAGCATAACCATTCTGTGGTAGCTGGCATTTTCTTAGATGATTTTTTATTTTTATTTTATTTTTTTATTTTTATTTTTTGAGATGGAGTTTCGCTGTTGTTACCCAGGCTGGAGTGCAATGGCGCGATCTCGGCTCACCGCAACCTCTGCCTCCTGGGCTCAGGCAATTCTCCTGCCTCAGCCTCCCGAGTAGCTGGGATTACAGGCACGCACCACCATGCCCAGCTAATTTTTTGTATTTTTAGTAGAGACAGGGTTTCACCATGTTAACCAGGATGGTCTCGATCTCTTGACCTCGTGATCCACCCACCTCGGCCTCCCAAAGTGCTGGGATTACAGGCTTGAGCCACCGCGCCCAGCTCTTAGAAGATTTTTTATAGACTATATTCAGAATTCTTTTGTTGGAATAAAATGACTCAGTCTAGGACTAGATTCGAGGACTGAATAGTTAAGATACTACAGGGCTGGGCATGGTGGCTCACACCTGTAATCCCAACACTTTGGGAAGCTGAGGCTGGTGGATCACTTTAGGCCAGGAGTTCAAGACCAGCCTGGCCAACATGGTGAAACTTGTATCTACTAAAAATACAAAAATTACCCAGCTGTGGTGGTGCACGCCTGTAATCCCAACTACTTAAGAGGCAGAGACAGGAGAATTGCTTGAACCGGGAGGTGGAAGTTGTAATGAGCCAAGCTCACGCCACCTGCACTCCAGCCTGGGCAACAGAGCAAGACTGTGTCAAAAAAAGATACTAGGGAAAAGCATTCAGCATCAGGTAATGTGGTATCCTTTCCTCTCCTTTCCCTGCCCCAGTTCTTGTTTTCACCGTGTTTGCCCTGTTTCTGCCCTTCCTTTGCAGGAAGAGCTTGTCAAATACTGCCTAATCGCAAGAAGTCCTCAACAGGCCTTAAAAACAACCAAACTTAAAAGTATTTTTGTTACTCTAAAAGTAGTACATATATTCTTATAAAATTTAGTAAATACACAAGCAAAAAAGAGAAATGTCACACACATTGCTACTACCTAGAGATAATTATGGTTAACAATTTGGTATAAATATACATACATTTTATTTAAATAGGCTTATACCCCACATATTGTATTCTATTTTCCATTGAACACAGTTGATAAAACAATCTTCTGTAACATCATTTTACTGGTTATGGAGTATTCCCTTTTCTGGGTTCCTTATGATCTACTTAACCAGTTTCTTACTATTGGCTTTTTCATGTTTCTCTTGGCAGAAATTTCTATACCTTTATTAGGATATTATCAAACAAGACCTTTAAAAAATCTGATGGCAATATTTTTTCTTACTTAAGATCTACTCTGAAAGCCTGCTTAGCTTTCTGGTTTTTACTTTTATCTCGTATCCTGGCTACACATATTGAACATTTGTGATAAGGAATTTTGCCCAACTTGGAGGTGACATCATGAGTTATTTTTATGCATTGGGAGCTAAGCTCAATTGCTTTGTCTCTGATTTTTTTAAAGAAAAATAATTTTTCAGAGGTAGGATATTTTCTGAGCTTTTCCAGTTCTGTTATAAAAGCCAAAGATTAGGAGACTTTTCTATTTAAGATGAGAAATGATGGTGTCATTGTCAGTAAGCAGAGGTTCTTACTGGAAAAGTGCTTTGGAAACCCAAGATCAGGTCAGGCATGGTGGCTCATGCCTGTAATCCCAGCACTTTGGGAGGCTGAGTTGGTTGGATCACCTGAGGTCAGGAGTTTGAGACCATCTTGGCCAACATAGTGAAACCCCATCTCTACTAAAAATACAAAAATTAGCCAGGTGTGTTGGCAGGTCCCTGTAATATCCCAGCTACTTGGGAGGCTGATGTAGGAGAATCACTTGAACCTGGGAGGCAGAAGTTGCAGTGAGTCGAGATCACACCACTACACCCCAGCCTGGGCAACAGAGTGAGACTGTCTCAAAAAAAAAAAAAGAAAAAGAAAAAGAAAAACCCAAGATCGCCTATGATAACAGTTCCCACAGTTAGATCTGTGGACCACGCATGTGTAGTTTCCAGCCGCCGCCTCCACCAGCAGCACTGCCACTGCTGAGACAGAAGCTGGCTTGAGAATCAGCCTCACGAACTCTCCAGCCACGGCTGGTCATCTGCCGTCAGCATTTGTCGAGGGACCTGTATATGCCAGAGACTGCTGACAGCCAGGTGGATTTGACGAACTCGGTCCGTGACAGGCAAAAGATGCCCATAGAGAATTGAACATGGTGTCTTAAGCACTAGGGGGCTCCGTGACCAGACCACAAAGGATATGAGGAAGGCTTCTCAGAAGGAATGTCTTGTCAGCCAGCCCTGGGAGGCTCATTTTCAGACCGAAGAGAGAGAAAAGAGGCATGTCAGACTACTCCCCTGCCTTTTTTTCTTTTTGGTAGCATAAAAGAAAAATGAGCTCCCGGGAACTGCTGTCACCTTTCCCTGGTTATCAGGTAGAATCACATCTGGTTTTGAAGAGGTATACTTCATAAACGATCATCTCCAAAGCAAGCTGACACATTTATCTTTGCGACTGAATATGCAAATAAATTACCCCCTTTTTAATGTTGCTACCTTCATGAGTGCCGGAAAGCAAATGTCCTGTTTCTTCAGTAACTTGCATTAAGTCATTTTCAGCTTTGAATTGTTGCTATGACAGTGTATTCTTACAGTCACTGCTGTAGAGGAAACCTTTTGTTTTCTCCAGCTACAGCTTAGGCTCATGAAATGGACCCTGAAGCATTACTCACTTTTATTCTTTAAGGTATGAGAAACATGACCTTAAGAAACAAAATTAGGCCGGGTGCGGTGGCTCACACCTGTAATCCCAGCACTTTGGGAGGCCGAGGCGGGTGGATCACGAGGTCGAGAGATCGAGACCATCCTGGTCAACATGGTGAAACCCCGTCTCTACTAAAAATACAAAAAATTAGCTGGGCATGGTGGCACGTGCCTGTAATCCCAGCTACTCAGGAGGCTGAGGCAGGAGAATTGCCTGAACCCGGGAGGCGGAGGTTGCGGTGAGCCGAGATCGCGCCATTGCACTCCAGCCTGGGTAACAAGAGCGAAACTCCGTCTCCAAAAAAAAAAAAAAAAAAAATTAGAAAAGTACAAGGCCAGAAAGAGTCCAGATTCTACTTACATTACCTGGGGTTCACAAACCAGTGGCCCAGCCCTGGAACTGCTGTTAACCCTTTGTGTGACCTTACCCAGTGACTCACTGTCTCTGGGCCTTAGGCTTCTCTGTATTAAAAGAAAGCAGTGAAACCAGCCTGGGTACCCGCTGTGGTAGTGATGTGAGCTGAGGCTGGGCACTGTGTATGTATGGCCTGCAGGCCCATTTTTGGGAACTGTGGGTGATCATGGCCTTCAAAAGCACTTTTCTGAGATGAGCCCTTGTTGGCTGCCACATTCCTCAAGGTGAGATGTTTACCTGTGATCTGCTAGGAAGAAGTGGGATTAGGGAGATTGTGTGTTCAGGTGAGTCTGGCAAGCTTTCATGTGAAGAAAGTTAGATTTCTTTTTTGCAAGACTCCTCAGAACCTTTATTATGTTATTTTGTGCTGTGAATCTCCTCAAAAGGCTTTCTGAAGTTGTTTGACCAAGCTACCTTTTCATCTTATTCTGCTTTAAAATTATACCAATCCTGGGGCCTGGCGTGGTGGTTCACATCTGTAATCCCAGCACTTTGGGAGGCCAAGGCAGGTGATCATTTGAGGTTAGGAGTTCCATACCAGCCTGGTCAACATGATGAAATCCTGTCTTTACTAAAAATACAAAAAAATTAGTCTGGTGTGGTGGTATGCATCTGTAATCCTGCTACTTGGGAGGCTGACGCAGGAGAATCGCTTGAACCCCAGAGGCAGGGGTTGCAGTGATCCAAGATCATGCCACTGCACTCCAGCCTGGGCAACAGAGCGAGACTCTATCTCAAAAATAAATAAATAAAATGATACCAATTCGTGACATGGTGATTAATGAAGCTGAATGTTACTGTTGACTATTCTTTCATTTACTGAGTCAACAAAAAGGTATTGACTGTCTTCTGTGCGAGGCTCTGCTTTAAGCCCTGGACATAAGGCAGCAAACGAGATAGACTTAGGCTTCGTCGTCATGGAATGAGGCACTACAGTTTCGAAGGCTGTGAAGGAGAAGTCAGGCACCATGACAACCTTTAAATGGGCAGGCCTGTGTGAAGGGGTCAGGGCAGGTGTCCCTAAGGGAGTGGCACTGACCCTGAGTTCTGAGGGATGAATAGGGAGTTAGTTGGGGAGGGAAAGGTGAATGGTGACTACCTGGGAGGTGCCAGTGACAGTGTGGTCCAGGTGTTTAGATTTGGGGAGGAGGAGGTTATGGTCAGAGGGGTATGGCAGGTGGGAGCCAGATCAAACTAAAACTAGGCTTCCTGATGACATGGGGAAACTGAGTTCTGAACAGGCTGGCAACCTGATCAGGTGTGCCTTTGAAAAGGATCAGTTAGGGCCTGTAATTCTAGCACTTTCGGAGGTTTTGATGGATGGATCACTTGAGCCCAGGAGTTCAAGACCAGCCTTGAACCCCACCTCTACAGAAAATACAAAAACTAGCTGGCTGTGGTGATGTGTGCCTGTGGTCTCTGCTACTCTGGGGCTGAGGTGGGAGGATCACTTGAGGCAAAGGTTGCAGTGAGCTGAGATCACACCCACTGCACTTCAGCCTAGATGACAGAGTGAGACCCTGTCTCATAAAAGGGGAGGAGGGGAATCATTTAGGCCACTGAGTGGAAAACAGCGTTGGTCTGTAGGAAGACAAGGATGTCTAGAGAGAGACAGTGAGGCTTATCCCTGGGAGTAAAGGGTAGTAGGGGATGGATCTGAGAGACAGGAGGAGGATATTTAATGAGAATAATTCCATGTTAATGGTGTAATGGTTTTCCCTTTGAGGACAAGACCAACAATTGGATTTAATCTGACATTTTCCTTTGTTCTATTACAGTGAAAGGAAAGTTCCTTCATTTCTTCCTCCCTTATGCCTCCTAAATCTTTCCTCTCAGCCTGAAATCTCGGACATTTCTTCTCTGGGTAGCTCCATTCTAATCTAACTTCTTGCCATAGCCCAAATTTTAGGTTTTATCACAGGATTTCTGTACTGAAATCCTTCCTATTGACTCTCCAGGCCTTCAGGCTGAAATACCAACGCCTTCCCAGGGCCCTGTTCCTCTGCCACTGCTCTCACCTTGTCCTGCCACTGTACCTCCCACCCCCGCCCCCGCCCCCGCCCCCGTTTTAGCTGCACTAATCTCGAACTTGAAAGTTCCCACAATGGGCTGCATATGGATGGGCTCCCTTCCTTTGCACATGACGTTTCCTCAGGGGGTGCCTTCTCCCATTTCTTCACCTGAGCAAGTCGTCTTTATCCGGAATCTAAACCCAGCCTCCCCTTTTTTGGGGGACAGAGTCGCTCTGTTGCCCAGGCTGGAGTATAGTGGTGTGATCTCTGCTCACTGCAACCTCTGTCTCACAGGTTCAAGTGATTCTCCTGCCTCAGCCTCCTGAGTAGCTGGGATTACAGGCATGTGATGCAACACCTGGTTAATTTTTGTATTTTTAGTAGAGACAGGGTTTCACCATGTTGGCCAGGCTGATCTAAACTCCTGGCTTCAAGTGATCCACCCACCTCAGCCTCCTAAAGTGCTGAGATTACAGGTGTGAGCCACCGAACCTGGCATCAGCCCACATTTTCTCAAGCACCTTCCTTGAGCCTGGCCGGTCTGAGTCAGGTACCTACCCATCCTTCGTTTTACAGCCCTCTGCTCTTCCTGCAGATTGTTCTTAGTGCTCATCGTGTTTTTCTCCCTCATTAGCTTGGGGGGAGGAGCTCTTTAAGGGCAGCAACTTTGCTCTCATCTCTGAACCCCAGAAAATAACACAGCACCTGGGACAAAGGTGAACAATAAATGGCTAACTGAATAAATAATGGTATGATTGAATGAATAAGGGAATAAGCAAGAAATAAGTTTTAAGTTAATTTCTAAGAACTTTTTGTATATAACATTTTAACTTTCTGTTTTCTTTCATTTCCTAGCACAGCTGAAGGTTTAACAAGGAAAAATATGTCAGATGTCAGTGGGTGGCAAACATTTTTACAAGCCCTTGACTACTTCCTCAAAATGTTCTTTGGCTCTGCAGCACTCGGCACTCTGACTGGCTTAATTTCTGCATTAATATCCTTTTAATGTGATGAACATGCAGGACTGAGATTATTCTTGATTATTCTATCTCTAGCCAGTTTCTCCTGTTTTTTAAGGGGGTCAATGTTAGATGAAGGTTTTGCTTAAAGAAGGATTTTTTGCTTCATTTTGTTTGAGAAACACTCTAACTCAGGAATTTTTAAATTTAACATGTGAAATTTAGGATATCAATTTTCAAAGTTTAAAAAACGTGTACACTGTTGGATATCAGATGTGATTTTGGGGTACCTCTCGGTTCCCAGGGTACGATAGCCACACTCGGATGATTTTCATTTTCTGCCGTCTCACTTCTCACATTTGGAAAATTGGAAATTAATTTTCTTTGAAAATATCAAATAGACCAGGTGCAGCGGCTCACACCTGTAATCCAGCACTTTGAGAGGCTAAGGCCAGGGGATTGCTTTCGCCCAGGGGTTCAAGACCAGTCTGAGCAATATAGTGAGACCTCATCTCTAAAAAATAAATAAAAATAAAATGTCAAATAGGGAAAATTTTTATCCCACTGAAAGTGTTTATCCATAAGGACTGGAAATGGGGGCTCTTGAAGTGTGTTCCATGGAGTTACTTGCACTGATTTTGTTGTTTAACAACCAATACGCTTTTCCAGCTGAAGCAGGAAAGAGGCTTGTTAAGGCCAATGACACCTTTATTGCTGTAGAAATTTCATTATGTTTAAAATAGAAACAGGCAGACCACTTGGGGGCGCGCCTAAGCCTACATCTCAGGGAGATGGCCACCTGCCCCTCCTCCACGAGCAGTTTGTTTCACAGATGGCCGGAAGAGACTCTTGCCTGTTACAGGCATGTTTTTCTGCCATCCTGTTGAATTTTCCCATCAGCTCCTTTGTCCAGAAGTCTAAAGGCTCTATTGAGTTGGCTAACAGCTTCTCATATTGTACCAATAAACAGAATGAAACAGAAAACTTTTTCCAGTTCAGTGTTTTCCTCCATATTTATCTTTTCCTTTAAAAAAAAACAAAAAGTATCAAAATGAAGTGTCGCAGATGGGTACTGTAAGCACCAGTATAGGCATTATGAACAATATTTGAATATATAGAAGGCTCTCTCCTTTCACAAGGGCATGAGTTTGGAAATCTCCAGGAACAGGAAAGACTGTTTCAACAGGGCCTTGAACCCCAGTTTGAACAGCGATTCACACTAGTTGTCTTTGACTCAAAACTGATGGGGAAAGTGACATGGGTAGCGTTAGTGATCTCATCTGATGTTGGAAGAGTGGCGGTGGCGCGGCCCTGTGGAACCTGGCCGAGTGAGCTATCCTTGGCATGTCTGTAGCGCCAGCTTCACCCCATGGCCTGGCACATCCTCAGCCCTCTAAGTCAGCGTTTTTAAATGAGTTGACGTAGGTTGATTTTCATTTTCTGCCACCATTTATCTCCAAAATTAGTGTTTTGTCAGATTCCCTTTCTTATAGTAACAGTTTCCCTACAAAGGAAAAAATCCGTAATGACAAATTTTCAGTTGTAACCTTGGGATGTTGCAAAATCTTCTGTATCTGTTGTTTACTTCATGTGTTTGGAAAGCTGCAGTTTTGTGACTTCTCCACATCTCCCGTCAACTCTCCCTCGATTCTTCTTCCTTGACAGTTGTCATTTACGTGCTGAAGCATATTGACTTGAGGAAAACGCCTTCCTTGGAATTTGGCATGATGATCATTTTTGCTTATCTGCCTTATGGGCTTGCAGAAGGAATCTCACTCTCAGGTAAGTGACAGAGACTCTGAAAGTGCTGTGATGATGGCACCTTGTCTTGTCCTGCCTGGTGAAAGAGGCTTTGTCAGCTGGGTCACTTTCAGTCACAAGAGACAGTCACAACTCAGAAGAGCTTAAGTAAAAGGGATCTGTTGGCTCCCTAGAAACACATCTGGTCTGGATGCAGTGGCTCACGCCTGTAATCCCAGCACTTTGGGAGGCCAAGGTGGGTGGATCACGAGGTCAGGAGATCAAGACCATCCTGGCCAACATGGTGAAACCCTGTCTCTACTAAAGGTACAAAAATTAGCTGGGTGTGGTGGCAGATGCCTGTAATCCCAGCAACTCAGAAGGCTGAAGCAGGAGAATTGCTTGAACCTGGGAGGTGGAGCTTGTAGTGAGCCAAGATCACACCACTGCACTCCAGCCTGGGCAACAGAGCAAGACTCCATTAAAAAAAAAAAAACCCAAAAAAAGCACATTTGGATTTAGGCCTGCCTGGATCCAGCGGCTCAAACAGTCACATTGGTGTCACAGTCACATTTCCTCTTAACCTGCCTTCTCCCATTTAGCCCATCAGTCCTATGAGGCTCCCTCAGAGGAGGGTAGCCTGTGGGAGGGAGGTACTGTGAAGGTCCTTATTTTACTGATGAGAAAACTGAGGTTGAATGAGATTAAATAAATTACCCAAAGTCACAGCCGGGATTGGTGGAATAATAATTTAAACTAGTTGTCTTTGAGTCAAGAACTAGTGCTTAGAACCCTCCTGTAATACAATTTTCTCCAAAACAAATCATCATAAACCATGTACTCAGTGCTACATAGAGGAAACAGCAAAGTATGGTGGTGGCATAATGTTGGAGTAGCCGTTTATTGGACACAGCAGTTTTGAGACTTTTTTTATGCTGTATTCGGGTTTTTTATGCTGCTACCACCCCTGTGGAGTAGGTACTAGCAGCTTGTCATTAGCCCAGAGCTGCATTGCACAGGCAGTGGTGGCAGTGAGATTGAAAGCCAGACGTTGGAGCCCCATAGACTTTTCCCTGCACCCCATTGGAGGAGGGCATGCAGCTCCCAGCAGCAGAGATGACTCTGATGTGGCCCTAGAAGATGATGCTCACCAGCTGGGGGAGGGGTAACCACTCACAGAGTAAGGGTCTCTGAGCAGTGACCTTGTAGTCAGTCAGCAGCCCCTGTTTGCAAGGCTTGGCTTAGTTGGGCTTTCTGCCCGCAAGTGGCAGTCAAGCTTGTGCCCGCAGTTCGTTGCATTGTAAGGATGTTGACCTGAAAATGGAGCATGACTCACCCCTGTTCCTGTGTGAGGGGGCAGCCAGGTGGGAAGGGCTCTGCCCTGAAAGTCTGACCCCATCCTTTGAGTGAAGGCCCTTCAGAGCCCTTGTTCTGGAAAGGAGGTGCCATTGCAGGGATGTTTTGATCTGTGCCACAGGATGGCAGAGATTTTCTTTCCTATTAACTTTGTTGAGGTATAATTTACACGTAATACATGGACCTATTCTAAGTATACAGTTCCATAAATTTCGGCAAATTGCAGGCGTAACAACCCCCACAGTCGAGATATGGCGTATTCTGATCGCCTAGCATGGCTCCCCTGTGCCCTTCCAGTCAGTCCCCCGCCTGTCCTGACTCCTGGCACCCACTGATCTTTGCTGTCACTATAGTTTTGCCTGTTCCAGAGTGTCATTTAAGTGAAATCATGTGGTCTGTGTCTCCTCTCTTTGAGTTACTATAATGTTTTTGAGAGACACCCATGTTTTTGCATGTGTCAGTAGTTAATCATTCTTATTGCCCCACAGTTTATTATCTGTTCACTATTTGAAGGACATTTGGGGTTTTCCAGATTTGGGCTAAGAACACTGTGCGTATGTTTTCATTTGTCTTGGGTAAATACCTAAGATTAAAGCTGTTAGGTCATATGGTAAGTACATTTTTACTTTTTTAGAAACTGCCTAGTGTGTTTTGAAGTGACTATATCATTTTACATTCCCATCAGAATGTGTGAGAGTGTGCCAGTTGCTTCATATTGTCACCATACTTACTTAAATTTTAAAAAGTTCAGCTGTCCTGATAGGTGTGTAGCAACGGGATTTAGATGTGCCTTGGTGTGGTTCTTTTTATATTCTACTTGGGTTCATTGAGCTTCTTGGGTTTATAGTTTATAGCTTTCATCAGATTTGGTAAGCTTTTGCCCATTTCTTTATTAACATTTTTTTTGTTCCCCCTTCCCCTTCTCCTTGAGACTTCAATTTACTCTAATTATGAGAGGTAGCGTGTTATTGGCCCACAATATGCTTTGCCCTTTTTTTTTTTTCTGTCTTTTTTTCCCTACGTGCTTTATTTTTGTTGTTTTCTGTTGCTGTGTTTTCAAGGTCACTGATCTTTCCTTCTGCCATGTAGAATCTCTTCTAATCCTACCCAGTGTATTTCTAATTTGCATATTCTATAATTCATTGACGGAAGATCCCCTTTGGGTTATTTTCACTTCTTCCATTTCTCTCTTCATCATGTTCATGTTTTCCTCTATATTCTGGAGCTTATGAAACATAATAGCTGTTTTAATGTCCTTGTTTGCTAATTCCATCATCTCTGTCAATTCCAGGTCTGTTTTGTTGTTGATTTTTCTTGTGCTTATAGGTCACATTTTCTTGCTCTTTGCCAGTCATTGTGAACTTCATGTTGTTGAGTACAAGATTTTATTGTGTTCCTTTATGGAGTTCCAGACTTTTGTTTTTTAAAAAAAATATATAGGCCGGGCATGGTGGCTCACGCCTGTAATCCCAGCACTTGGGAGGCCGAGGCGGGCGAATCACCTTAGGTCGGGAGTTTGAGACCAGCCTGACCAACATGGAGAAACCCCGTCTCTACTAAAAACGCAAAATTAGCTGGGCTTGGTGGTGCATACCTATAATCTCAGCTACTTGGGAGGCTGAGGCAGGAGAATTGCATGAACCCAGGAGGCAGAGGTGGTGATGAGCTGAGATTGTGCCGTTGCACTCCAGCCTGGGCAACAAGAGCGAAACTCCATCTCAAAATAATAATAAATAATATATACGTATATATATATTTTGTTTCCTGTGTGTTATTTCTGGGCTTTTCTTGTGGCATATATCTAAGTCTCTTGACATCAGTGTAATCCTTTTTGAGGCTTACATTTAAACTTTGTTAGGGCAAGTGCAGAGTAGCAGCGCCCTAACTAAGGTGTCTCAGGTATTGTGAGCTCACTCCACTCTGGCTGGTGGAAACACAAACTATTCCCAGCCCCGTGTCAGCTTCTGGGATTCTTCAGCCTGCTGCTTTTTCATGGTTCTTTCCCTACCTCTTGTTTCATCCCACATACTTAGTGATCAGTATCAGTCAAAGACTCAAGGGGACTTTACAGTAGATGTCCAAGAGCTCTCTTTCTGTGCAGCTTCCCCTACCCAACATGACAGCCCCCCAGAGCCTCAACCTCAGGCAGTCAGCTCAGCCATGGGTCTGGGGAAAGAGTGGCCACCTTGTTTGTTTCCTTTATGGCCAGACCATACCCTATCTTTTGTCCCATGTCAGAAAATAGTTTTGTTTCGCATCTTGTATCAGGTTTTGTAGATATGTAGAGGAGGACAGTGTTCTGTGTAGCAGTAATTTCTTCAGACACAAAGGGGAAGGCCCAGTGATCTTTAGTGACTCCATTGACAGAATTCTCCTGCCCACAGTCACTTTCTGGAGTCACACGTTGGTGCTGCGTGAGCAGCACAAGGAGGAAGCAGAGTGGACTCGCCATTTTCAGGATTTTGTTTTTCATCACAAACCAGTTCACCAGGATAATTCCATCATGGTATCTGCCATGAGGTTCCCTTTCTTTAATGAATGTTGGCACTTACAAAAACATTACCTCTGAGTCATTTGACGCTAACCTACTTACTTTTACATCTGTTTTTCTAAATTGTTCCTCTACCCCCTTGAGATGATCATTGAATACCTGCTGGCAAAGATGTGTTTCATGCATCTGTTTGGAATCTGTGATTAAAACAAAGGAGTGTTTTTCTTACCTTCTTTTCAGAGTGGCAGTGTTTCCTGTTGATAGGGGTGTCATTTCCTTAGGGACCTTGTTCCATGCAGAGCAGTGCAAGCCAGGAACACCAGATCTGCCTCTGGGTAAGGGACCCTGCTCTGTCTGCACTTTGCATTTTGGTTGCTTGCCACGCCGAGAGGGGCAGGATGGCCCTGTGTGGTGTGTAGACCCTCACGCTGTACTCTGTGAGCACAGGTGGAAAGGATGGCGTGTGTGCTGCCTTCTGCTTCCTTTTTGTGCTCCCCTTTTCCTATCACAAAGGACTGATCTCAGGTGGCTCCCAAGACCACAAAGCAGGACATTTTCCTCCTAGGAAGTGGGAATTATTTACCTAAATCCGCATGTAGGGAACACAGTTGTTAAGGACTGGGGCTGGAAAACAGACAGACTTGGATTTGAACCCCAGCTCCACCTCTTATTGGCTGCGTAACCTCAGACAACAGACTTAACCATCCCGTGCTCTACTTCCTCATCTAAAATAGACAAGTAAAAGGGCCAGCCTAATGCCTTTGCTGAGAATGAATGAAAGTGATGCAAGTGACAGTCCTGATGGGGCATCTGTGCCACTGCTGGGGTGGCCATAAGTCCTGGTTTGCTCTGAGACCCCCAGTTTTGCTGTTGTCTCAACATGATGAATGAATAATATCCCCTTTTATTCTAAAAAATGTCCTGGTATCCACAGCAAATCAAATAGTCTCCCTAATTATTACTCAGCAAGCGTTAGCTATTCTCAGAATATTCATTCTAATTATATCCATGTTAACTGTTTTTATTGTTCAGTCAAGCCAGTTTTGAGGGCCACTTTGGCCTCTGACACTAAAGATTCAGAGATGAATAGACCCCACTTAGGCAGAGCAGTTAGCAAACACTGGGCTTACAGGGGATGGGACAGCGACACTCTGTCAAGGTGAGTCAGAGGAGGGGACTTTGGGCTTGAAGGATGAGTTTGCAAGATTAATCATGACATAACGCGTTCTTAAGATATTGGCATGAAGTTGGCCAAAGATGGAATGTACACTGCAGTGCTCTTATGCATTGATATCTAAGGAATTCCATTGCAGCACTGCTTGGGAGAGAAAAATTGGAAGGAACTAAATGTTCATCAGTAATGGAAAAGATTAAATTCCAGTCCATTTGCACTTTGGAGTCCTGTGCAGTCACTTCAGAAATGAACTTGAGCTGTTTGTACCACCCATGGAAAGAATTTGACATAGTGTTAAATTTTTTTAAAGTAATTTGAAAACTCAATTTCTTTCTTTCCTTTTTTTTTTTTTTTTTTTTTTTCAGACAGAGTCTTGTTCTGTTGCCAGGCACCAGGCTGGAGTGCAGTGGCACAATCTCGGCTCACCGCAATCTCCGCCTCCCAGGTTCAAGCAATTCTCCTGCCTCAGCCTCCTGAGTAGCCGGGACTACAGGTGCGCGCCACACCCAGCTAATTTTTGTATTTTTTAGTAGAGACAGGTTTTCACCGTGTTGGCCAGGATAGTTTCGATCTCTTGACCTCATGATCTGCCTGCCTCGGCCTCCCGAAGTGCTGGGATTATAGGCGTGAGCCACTGCACCCGGCCGAAAAAATCAATTTCTTACCCATTCAAGAAATATCTATTAAATGCCCACCCTATGCTGAGAACTATCCTTGCTACACTGGGGCTACGGTAATAAACAATACAAGATCAGGTTCCTTTTCCTGCAGAAGAAAGCCAGAATGTAAGCAATCCCATACAACAATTCCAGGTGGCAAGAAATGACAAGAAGAGAAATCAAATCCATGTGGCAGAGAGTGGCATGCGGTAGAGGATGTACTGGGGTTTAGGCAGCCAGGGAGGTCTCTCCTGGAGGTGGCCCTGGAGCCTGGACCTGTGTGGTGACAGGAGCCAGCCCAGAGATGCTCTAGGGAAGGAGGTTCTGGCAGCAGGAACTGCAGGAGCCAAGGGTCTGAAGATAGATGTGTGGGAGTGTGGCACACTCCGGGAAGAGAAGGAACACCATTGTGGCCAGAACAGAGCAGGCAAGGACACTGCCTCGCAGGCTCAGTAGGCCTGGGCAGGAGCTGGGGTTCTGTTAGAGGCACCATGACAAGAGAGTTGGAAGCCCTTGAAAAAAATCACTCTGCTGGTAATAGGCACCATATATGTGATAGGATCCTGTTTATTACTTTATTTTAATTGTATTTTTTGAGACAGGATCATGCTCTGTTGGCCAGGCTAGAGCGCAGTGACACAATCACAACTCACTGCAGCCTTGATCTCCCCAGGCTTAGGTGATCCTTCCATCTCAGCCTCCTGAGTAGCTGGCACTACAGGCACGTGCCACCACACCGACTAGTTTTGTTTTGTTTTGTTTTCATAGAGATACATATAATTTATTCTATCTTATTTAAATAAAAATTAATTTAAGAAAATAGTATTCTATATATGAAAGGCCAGGTACCATTATTGAGATGGCATGAAATAGAAACTAAAGTAAGGATTGGGATGCACCCGGAATTAGTATATCTTGGCAGCTTGATGACTTTTTAAAACAATCTCAGCCTCCTTACATGATATAGAGACCCCTTTTCTGCTGCCTACACAGGGAGATACTGAGAAGAAACCTGAGTTCCCCAGGAGCGACTGAGGGCAGCGGACAAATGTTGAGGCTCCAATCCTGCGTAAACACCGAATGCTGGAGATGTTCTCATTCAGGGCTTTGAAGAAAAGACGCATTACTTTTTAAATAACAGTAGTACATGATTATGGGAAAATTCATTGTTAAGGAAATATATTTCAAAAGTCCATCAAAATCCAAACATTTGGCCTGGTATAGTGACTCACACCTGTAATACCAGCACTTTGGGAGGCTGAGGCAGGTGGATTGCCTGAGCTCAGGAGTTTGAGACTAGTCTGGGCAGCATAGTAAACCTCATCTCTACAAAAATACAAAAAAATTAGCCAGGTGTGTTGATGTGTGCCTGTGATCCCAGCTATTTGGGAGGCTGAGGTGGGAGGATTGCTTGAGCCCAGGAGGTGGAGGTGCAATGAGCTGAGATCACACCATATATTCCAGCCTGGGTGATAGAGTGAAATTCTGTCTCAAAAAAACAAAAAAAAAAACCACACATTCTCCATACACAGATTCTTAGACTTTTCTGCCCCCCAGAGTGGTTCACTTGCCCCTGTTATACAGTCCTCCCTCAGCATCCACAGAGGATCAGCTCTAGGTTGCCCCACAGATAGAAAAACGATGCAGTTGGCCAGCATGGTGGCTCACGTCTATAATACCAGCACTTCGGGGAGGGCGAGCCAGGCGGATCACCTGAAATCAAGAGTTTGAGACCAGCATGGCCAACATGGTGAAACCTCGTCTCTACTAAAAATATAAAAAATTAGCCAGGCAGGATAGTGTGTAGTATTCACAACTCCTCAGAAGGCTGAGGCAGGAGAATCGCGTGAACCTGGGAGGCGGAGGTTGCAGTGAGTCAAGATCGTACTATTGCACTCCAGCCTGGGCAACAAGAGCAAAACTCCGTTTCAAAAAAAAAAAGATGCAGTGCAGTGGGCCCTCCATACCCACGGGTTCCACATCTGCCAGTCCTATCCCTGGATGTCAGTTAATCCACACCTGTTTAGCTCTGGTACTGTGAAGAGGACTTTACATGGCTTCTTTTCACTTACCCACCTAACAGTTCTGTGAGGTACTATTAGTCCCACTGTACAGAAGAGAAAACCGAGGCTCTGATGGGGCACATGATGTGGCTCAAGATCACCCAGCTAGTAATGAGACTGCCAGAGGAAAGGGGCCCATGGTGTTTTTTCTGAAGCCTCTGGGAGGCCTCAGGTATTCATTTATATTCCTTTTTCTTTTTTTCTTTTTTTTTAAATTGTAATTTAGGTTTATATTCCTTTTTCTTAAAATGCCTAAAGCTCTAGGCCCCAGGGCCTTGCAGGAATCGTGAGATCCGAGTTGGGGATCGCACAGCAGGTGCATTTCTGTTCTGCTCTCTCCCTCTTAGGCATCATGGCCATCCTGTTCTCGGGCATCGTGATGTCGCACTACACGCACCATAACCTCTCCCCAGTCACCCAGATCCTCATGCAGCAGACCCTCCGCACTGTGGCCTTCTTGTGTGGTGAGTTCTGCCTCTGTGTGGCCGTGCACAGGCCTACCCGGAGCTGATGTTTCTTCCTTATCCTGTTTTAGAAGTCAGCTGAGACTTTCCCTGGCAGTAGGCCATCAGTTCCTCAGGGCCAGGTCCCATACTCCCTTATCTTTTGTTTGTTCCTCTGGCTCTGAAATTTCATAAACCAAACACCTAATACATGGACATCTGGTGCCTACAATTTAAAGATCAAAAGTAGAACTAATTATGAACATTTGAGACATGCATTTTTAATGTATTAATGTGACATTTCCAAAAATGTATTCTTTAGAAATAATATTAATGATGGTTAGATGAAAATGGCTCCATAGTCAAGCAAGGCATGGGGCTCATACCTGTAATCCCAGCTGCTTAGGAGGCTGAGGTGAGAGGATCACTTGAGCCCAGGAAATTCAAGGCTGCACTGGACTATGATCTTTAAAAAAAAAAAAAAGAAGAAGAAAGAGAAAAAACGATAAAGCTTTTGTAGTCAGACAAGAGTTTCGGCAGTTCTGGGTTAAATAAAATTTAACATTTATGAATTGCCAGGCTTTTCAGCAAATGGGCATTGTAAAATTCTTAACGGGGGATATAGTTACAGCATTTGCCAAACTTGTCCACAGAATCCTTTGTTCACAAGAGCAGCATGAGGTACATCACTCAGGGACAGTCTGCAGTAGAGGTGTCATTTGTTGGGCTGGGATAAGCCACGATGGCTTTTTCTTGATCTTAGCCAACAGGTGAGAAGCTCACTATGGCTTTTTCTTTAAGCAGTTTGAGCTCTTGTTCCCCCGACGCTCAGACATACCCATGTATCTCCCCCACAACTTTACACTTGGAAGTGGTTGGAGTCGGGGAACAACCCTCACCATATCCCTTTAAGCTGGCCCCAAGTAGCTGTGCCCTAGCCGTCATCATCAAAATCACCCCTGACATTTTTTTTGGCAGCGGGGGGGCGGGGGGATTGTCTGATTTTTAATTGCCACTTCCACACTGTTAGCATGCTAGCAGCAGATAAGGAGGCTTAGGTGAGAAGTGGTCAGATGATCTGCCCATGGTCTCAAGGCCAAGAAGTGGGTATGCAAGCCAGATCTCTTTATTCCTGGCCAGTGGGTATTATTTGTACAGCACCTCTCAGAAGGCCAGGGCTATAGATTCTGACCCTGATCCTCGCAATTAAAGAAACATAAAGCAAAACATCCATCCAAAAAGATTCTGTTTTGTACCATCAGATGGGCAAATGTTAAGTCTGATAATACCCACTTCTGGCCTTGGTGTGTGGGACACAGGCCTAGTGTATGGGACACTGATGCCATCTTTTCCGGAGAGTCATTTGCCACGTTTGTCTGAATTTGAAAGGCACGTGCTCTTTGGCCCAGCAGTTCAACCATGTGGTATTGAGCCTGTGTACTGGGGTGTTTGTTGACCCTCTCAGAAATAGAAACAGTCTAAATATCCATTCATAGAGGACTGGTCATTAGAAAAATTGTCAAATTTTGGCAGTTTGTCAAATTTGACAGAAAAACTGCCAAATACTTCTGCAAATAAACACTGTCCGTCCCACCCAGGGAAGATGAAAAACATGAGTCTGTCTGTTTGCTGAATGCTGTCATTAGCAAGGGTCCCAACTGTGGCAAAGTGGCAAAAATTCAGGGCAAACGACTGCAGATGCCACAGGACAAATGTGAAGGGTCTTTGGTTAATCATGATGTATCCAGGTCCTGGAGTTGATGCTGCCAGGGAAGAGCATTCACTAGATCTGAATGTCTTCTAAATGTGCTCGTTTGGAAGGATCACATAAATATGAGATAAGAAAAAAGTTTCAAAGAGAAGGGTGATTAAACTGTCTAGCTTGTGGACTTGTTTTAAACTTGGGTACCATTCAAAGGAAAAACATTGCTGGAATGTAAAACAGTCTTGCTGTTTATGATCAACTATTTTAAAATACGGTTTTAATCTCTCTAGTCATTATGCTATTCTGAGGAACATCACAGTTTAAGGAGAGAGCCTAGTGGTTGAAATTTATAAGGTACTTTTTCTTAAAATATACAAGTTTGTGTGACAGAGAGTAAATATTGGACTCTCTTTGGCTTGCAGAATGGAGCCAAGAGTTAGCATTGCGTCTCACTCTGCAAATCCTGCTGGGTGTGAGCTGTGTACTAATCCTTGTGACAGCATTAAATATATTAAGCTAATCATGTGGAAGTTAACCAAAGTCCCCTTCACATTTGTCCTGTGGCGCCTGAATTTTTGCCACTTTGTCACAGTAGGGATCCTGGCTAATGACAGTGTTCAGCAGATCGACAGATTCATGTGTTTATCATCTTCCCTGGGTGGGATCGTGTTTATTTGCAGAAGTATTTGACAGTTGACCGGATTATATTAGGAGATTTCTGAATACCAGGGACGTGTTGCTTGTGTAATAGAAAAGAATGAGAGAACTAAAGGAATAAATATCATAACACACACACACACACACACACACACACACACACACACACACACACACAGAGGGAAAAGAATGAGAGACTTTAAGCACAAGTTTGACCAAGTTATTGGCTCAGGATTTGCAAGAAAATATGGAAAGTGTTGTATTGGATTCTGACTGTTAATGCTTGCTTAACAATTTAGTACCATACTGGAATGAAATCATGGGGGTTGAGTAATCCATTCTTTGGTTTGTTTCAGAAACATGTGTGTTTGCATTTCTTGGCCTGTCCATTTTTAGTTTTCCTCACAAGTTTGAAATTTCCTTTGTCATCTGGTGCATAGTAAGTATTTTCCTTGTTTTTGTTTTTTTTTTTAATTTATTTAGTAGCTTATTTGTAGATCAGTAGCCACATGTTCTGGATTCATTTATGTAACTGTTAACTGTTCAAAGTCAACAGCTACATTGACACTCTTTTGTTTAAAGTTTCTTTTGTTAAAAGAAAATCATAAACATACGGTAAAGGGACAGGGGTAGAATTAAGTGAATAAATATCCCCATAAAGGACTTTCGCTTGTTTTTTAAGATTATTAGTGGCTTTGAATATTATGGTCTGGTTTATATCTTTTTGTGTGAGGAGGTAAAAGCAGATTTCGAAATTGAATATGTAATTGATCATAACCATATAAACATAATTATTATGAAGAGAAAAAAGAAAATATGTAAAGAAAATATAGCCACATGTTCACAGTGGTTATAGAGCTGGGGGTTTCTCTCTCTTTTCTACTTTTTCTTGGTAATTTATTATGTACTTGTTAATGCAGTTTTCTTCCAATTTTTCTATGTATAAGTGTGCCCTTGGACATTTGTTTAAAGATTACCAATCCCTTACCTCACCTGGAGAGTCATCCAGAGTAGTTATCCTAGATGATGCTAACAACCAAGAGGATTTGGGGGCTGGGCGTGTTGGCTCATGCCTGTAATGCCAACACTTTGGAAGGCTGAGACAGGAGGATCGTGGAGCCCAGGAGTTTGAGACCAGCTTGGGCAACTTGGCAAGAGCCCATTTTTAAAAAATTAAAAACAATTTTTAAAAAAGAAGATTTGGGAAACAAGCCAGGCACAGTGGTACATCTATAGTCCCAGCTGCGTGGGAGGCTGAGGCAGGAGGATCGCTTGAGCCCAGAAGTTCGAGGCTGTAGTAAGGGCTGATTGTGCCACCGCACTCTAGCCTTGGTGACAGAGTGGGACCCCATCTCTAAAAAATAAAAATTTAACAACTTAAAAAAAAAAGGTTTGGGAAACAGTGTTATAATTGGACTGGGTGTGGCAGTAGGCAACAAATATACCTTTAAAAAAGGAAAAGATAAGCTTCATCATTTTCAGCAGAACCAAATTACTTTTGGGAATGGAGTGAGGAAAAATAAGTGGTGTTTTAAAGAAAGGTCTAGGTCCCTCAGTCGTGATCAAAGTGACATTAATGACTTCTAACGCTTGGACATTTAGCAGTCTGTTCTTTCTTATGTCTCTGTTCCTTCAGCAGGAATTCATCTTCCATAAGTACTACTGCGGATTCATCCTGTAATTCCTGATTTGATTTTGTTGACTACTTTTTAGATCCTCTGATAATTTAAGGCACTTAAGAAGCACAGCTTACAGCCTGGCCAACATGGCGAAACCCTGTCTCTACTAAAAATACAAAAATTAGCCGGGCGCAGTGGCACGTGCCTGTAATCCCAGCTACTTGGAAGGCTGGGGCAGGAGAATTGCTTGAACCCGGGAGGCAGAGGTTGCAGTGAGCTGAGATCGCGCCACTGCAATCCAGCCTGGGTGACAGAGTGAGACTCTTGTCTCAAAAAAAAAAAAAGAAGCCAGGCATGGTGGTTCATGCCTGTAATCCCAGAATTTTGGGAGGCTGAGGCAGGCAGATCACGAAGTCAGGAGATCAAGACCATCCTGGCCAACATGATAAAACCCCATCTCTACTGAAAATACAAAAATTACCCCAGCGCAGTGGCACACACCTGTAGTCCCAGCTACTTGGGAGGCTGAGGCAAGAGAATCGCTTGAACCTAGGAGGCAGAGGTTGCAGTGAGCTGAGATCTCGCCACTGCACTCCAGCCTGGTGACAGAGCGAGACTCCATCTCAAAAAAAAAAAAAAAGCACACCTTATTGTTGTTGAATTATCATAATTTATCTTCAGATAACTTTTATTGTCAACTCCACTTAATAAAACATAGCTATTAGGAAACTTTTTTTTTTTTAGTATTGTCATCTTCAGTATACAAACTTATACTCGAGCATATAGAGAAACTGAGACTGAGAAAAGATGAGGAAGCCTAAGAAAAAAAGATATTCTCTTGCAACCTGGGTACTTCTACTTTTCAGTCAGCAAGGGCTGATTGCTCTTGGTCACTGTTATTCGTCCTCCCAGCTCATCAGGTTTCAGGCCAAGAGAAAAGCAGCAAAAGTCCTTTACAGAAAGTATAACAGCCTATGGCCGGGCGCGGTGGCTCAAGCCTGTAATCCCAGCACTTTGGGAGGCCGAGGCGGGTGGATCACAAGGTCAAGAGATCGAGACTATCCTGGTCAACATGGTGAAACCCTGTCTCTACTAAAAATACAAAAAATTAGCTGGGCATGGTGGCACGTGCCTGTAATCCCAGCTACTCAGGAATTGCCTAAACCCAGGAGGCGGAGGTTGCGGTGAGCCGAGATCGCGCCATTGCACTCCAGCCTGGGTAACAAGAGCGAAACTCTGTCTCAAAAAAAAAAAAAAAAAAAAAACCAGAAAGTATAACAGCCTAGGCCAGGCACAGCGGCTCATGCCTGTAATACCATCACTTTGGGAGGCTGAGGTGAGCAGATCACCTGAGGTCAGGAGTTCATGGTGAAACCCCATCTCTACTAAAAATACAAAACTAGCTGGGTGTGGTGGTGGGTGCCTGTAATTCCAGCTACTCAGGAGGCTGAGGCAGGAAAATCGCTTGAACCCAGGAGGTGGAGATTGCAGTGAGCTGAGATCGCGCCATTACACTCCAGCCTGGGCAAAAAGCAAAACTCTGTCTTTATGTCTCTCTCTCTCTCTCTCTCTCTCTCTCTCTCTAACCTTTAATGTAGCCGCTGGGTGAAAGGGGACACATTTGATCAAACCTGAAACATAAGTATAGGCATGGAAGATTAGATTTCAGTGGGTGAAACAGGGAGGTGACTGTGTCAGCTACAGGTTGGGAAGAAAATGAGAGGATGCCCTGGATGATAACTCAGTTTACTCTAGGCCCAGCCTGGCCCTGCGGCTAGTGGAGACGGCCTGTGATATTCAGATGGGTTACAGTTCCTGCCCTTTAAACTCGGCTTAGTGGTCAAGAGCATGGGCTTTGGGGTCTGATCCAGATTTGAGGCTTAGATCCATTACTTCACTTCCTCCCTTATCAACTTGGACCAGTTACGTCATCTCTCTATACCTCAGTTTCCTTGTCTATAAACTGGAGACAATAATACCTACTTTATAAGACCTTTGCAAGGATTGACATTTAGCAGGATAATGCATGTAAAATGATTAGCATATTGTCTGGCATAGAAATGCTTGATGATTGGAAACAGTTATTCTTGGCCAGGCACAGTGGCTCATGCCTATAATCCCAGCACTTGGGGAGGCTGAGGTGGGAGGTCAAAATCACTTGAGGTCAAAAGTTTGAGACCAGCCTGGCCAACATGGCGAAACCCATCTCTACCAAAACCACAAAAATTAGCTGGGTGTCATAGCACACTGCTGTAATCCCAACTACTAGGGAGGCTAAGGCAGGAGAATTGCTTGAACCCAGGGGTGGTGGCGTGGAGGTTGCAGTGAGCCAAGGTCACACCACTGCATTCCATCTCAAAAAAAAATTACTCTCAAATTCATGCTTGTTAAAGGAACAAACTTAAAGCCTAAAGAATGTATTATATATGTCTGTATCATCATTTTCAAGTAGTTATGGTGAGAACCAAGATGAATAAAATGAAAGTAAAGTAATAGTCCTAAGAATCCACTTAGATTACATTTAAACTTTAGGCTGGGTGCAATGGCTCACACCTGTAATCCTAGCACTTTGGGGAGGCCAAGGCAGGAGGATTGCTTGAGACCAGGAGTTTGAGAGTAGCCTGGGCAACATAGCAAGACCTCATCTTTAATTAAAAATTTTTAAAAATTAGGCATCGGGGAGAGAGGGCAGGATCCAGGAAAAAAAAAAATTAGGCATGGTGGGGTATGTCTGTAGTTCTAGCTACTTAGGAGGTTAAGGTGGGAGGATTATTTGAGCCCAGGCGGCTGAAGCTGCAGTGAGCTGCAGTCTCACCACTGCACTCTAGCCTGGGAGATAGAGCGAGACCATGTTTAAAAAAAAAAGAAAGAGATGTAAACTTTACATAAAGCTGTACTTTGCCAAGACTAACATGCCTTTGGGGATGGAAAGGAACCAAAAGCCACAGCAAGTCGCTGTCTGGCTAAGCCAGGGCATGTGGCCTCCTTGTAGACCCTACCTCTGCGTTCCTCTTGCTCAGAGAGCAGCATTTCCATGCATGGGTAGGTCCTTCATTGCTCCCCTCCTTTCCCTGAGGAAGAGGCAGAAACACCCTGTCTGTCCCCTTAGGGCTGGAATGATCAATGCAGGCCTGTCCCAAGGGGGCGCCTTTGGAGTCAGGTTGCCCTTAAATTAATCCGTGAATACGGCTGTACAGCCTCTTGGCATTCAGTTTTGTTCTGCTGTCATTACTGAAGCCCTTCCCGATACCTTGTCAGTCCTCTCTTTTCTGACTGCTGAGAAAGGTAATGTACAAAGCTTTATCCTTTCCTAGATGCATAGAACCCGAAGCTCCAGCAGCACGCCCATGCTGGGTCTCTGACAAGCATGGTGTCGCTCGTGTCTTTTATGGTTGAGGAGAATGCTGCATTTGTACTTGATGTGTTACACAGTCTGCATTAGCTTCGGGAAGCTTCTGCTTCAAGAACCAGACGTTTTCACCTAAGACTTAATTTGTTGCTGTCGACAGGTTCTTGTACTATTTGGCAGAGCGGTAAACATTTTCCCTCTTTCCTACCTCCTGAATTTCTTCCGGGATCATAAAATCACACCGAAGATGATGTTCATCATGTGGTTTAGTGGTAAGTCAAATCTTGAATAAACAGGGTGGGAAATACCTGTTAAAACCACGCCCCATGTGGGGAGAGCCATAGTTCTCTGCTAGCACCCTTGGCAAAGGCATTTGCTCAAAGCCACAAGTAATCAACACCCCTGTTTAATGGCACCCACTGCAGCCCAGATGGTGCCCTCACCATGGTGCTGTGAAGTAGGTGAGGCTTAGTTGGAAGAGGGCAAAGGACATGCCCAGGGTCATGTGACCACTGGAGGCAGAGCCGGGATTTCTGCCGCTCTCTTCTGGACAGGACAGTGCAGTCCAGGGCACAGCTGGGCATGGCTCAATGCCTCCCTGTGGGTTTTCTAGGCTGTGTCCTAGGCTGAAGTAATGATGGACTCAAGGTAGAAAAGGTGAAAGTAGAAAATGTTTTATACCTTATGTTAGTTTTAGATATTTTTCCTTTTAGTTACAAAGTTCTGGTAGTTTAATTTGAATGTTTCAGTTGCTAATCACTTTTTAAAGGATGGAAATGATTTCATAAAACTTTGCTTCTAAAGAACTGGATCCATAGTCATCTTTAAATTTATTTTTGAGCAATACATACTGTTCTTTATGCTTTCTTGCTTAAATATTATAATTAAAGTGTCTTCCGTGTGGGTTGGGTTATAGCTACACATTTTATGATGTTCTCTATCCAAAGGCATATCTGTAAGTTTGTCTCAGATTTCTCTTCTTTCAAAAGGCCATGTTTAAAAATGTATGTGTTTCATATATATGTACATATGTGAATATATATGTATGCATTTATATATGGTGAGAAAAACTAATTTTTTTCCTAATCTCTTTTTGCCAGTGAGGCAAGCTACTTTGTAAAGTGGTTGCAGAAGTGTGTCAGAGGTTTTTCGAAGTGATGTGAGCTATTTGGGAGGGGGCATGACTAGGATAAGAGACCTTTGCGGGGAAGGCTGGAGTGTGTTTGAAATGGCGAGGGCTGTAGGCTCCTGTTCTCTCCCAGGCTCGCTCTCCTCGGCTTTCCATCCGGGCTTTCCTGGATTCTCAGCAAGGAGCACTGAACAAGCCTCTGCTACCGGCCCTTCCCATCATCGTTTAAGCAATCAGGGTTTCTCCTCCTTCCCACAAAACACCAGCACCTTTAACCAGAGTGCCTCCTCACGTGCCCTGCAGCTGCGTTCCAGCCTCTTTCACCATGGCCAGACTCCTGTGAATGAGCTGTTCTCGCTCATTTTCTCCACTTCTTCACCGCCTGTCCACAGGGCTGGAATTGGCCTTGGCAGGTCACCAGCGACCTCCCGCAGCCAGACCTGGAGGGGAGGGAGATGGGTCCGCCCCCGTCCTAGCCCACCTCCTTCCCACCGCCCCTGCCTTCTGACGAGGACCGCTTCACCCTCTTCTGTGGCCTCTGGGCCTTGCTCCTGGTTTCTCTTCTTTGGCGTCTCCTCGGGCTCAACCCCCTTCACCGACCCCTCACATAGCAGCTTCCTCGGGACTCTGCCGAGCCCTGATTCTGTTTGTGTGTTCTGCGCTTCACTGAGTGTGCTCACCTATCCACTGGCCTTCACTTCCATCTAGTCCCAAAGCTGTTCCCGAGAACCCAGACCTCCCTCTGGGATCCGCACTCCTGTTTTCAGCTGCCTGCTTGGATGCCATGGAGATGCCGCCATCTCTATGCCCTTGCCCAAGAAATCCTACTTTGAATTGCCTCGTGGCCTGGTTAGCTCGTACTAAGCACTTGCTGGGTACACACCCTGTTAAAGCACGTTACGTGTGCTGTGTCGCTGAATCCTCTGGCCCCCGTGACAGGTTTAGAGAGGCAGAGAGTCCCTCATCCTCACCATGTCTCTGCATTCTGTGCTCTGTGCTCCTGTTCCGCCTTTCCCCATCTGGGTCTTACCTGCAGCAGTCTGGCTGTCCTGCCCCATCGTGATGCAAGCTTCCTGCCTTCCTGTCTGCTCCCCCACCCTGCCCATCTCTTCCGGGTACCATTTCACAGCCTTCATTTGCTGTGTCTCCTCCCAGCTGCTCTGGGAGCTCCCCAAGGGCAGGGCTAGGACTGCCTGTCTCCTCCATACGGTGCCAAGGAAGCCAGGAAGCTTCTTACAGAGGAAAGTCCGGTTCCCAACTCAGTCCATGCTCCTCCGTCATGCCCTAGTAGCCTCACAGAGGACCAGCCAGCCTCTCATTATCACCTAAGCAGCCCAGAGCCCTGTCAGTGCCACCAGGGGCCTCCGCAGGGGTAGCATCTTGAGATACGAGGGGTGCTGGACACATGGCATCCTGTGCTGTTGTGGGGATTAGCTGAGTGGCCCCAGGCGGGACATGCTGCTCTTGGCCTCGGTCCCTCATCTGTGTGTTATGGACGAGAGTATCGCTGCTTGGTGAGGATTCCTGTAAAGATCCAGCGAGGCTCTGCCCGCCCTAGCACCTGCCTGGGCCTGGCGCACACACCTGAGGGCTTGGCCCACAGCAGCTGTCCTACAGTTTCTACGACACGGGCGTCAGCCTTGATAAGTCCTCCTGCACCTGCACGTGGTGCTCTGTAGCTGGGGTAGGGCACCTCGTTGATCTACCCAAGGGGGCATAAGGGTGAGTCTGTGGTCCCCAAATGTCTGTGGCCTGCGCTTCTCACCTCAAAGCCTCGCAGGGCGAGCACACGCTCTTCAGTGGGGCCATTAGAATAGTTGCTGGTCACAGTGCTGGGCCAGTCGGATTTCCAGGGAAGCCAGCCCATGAAGCTGCTGCCTCCTCTCCGTGTCTTCTCACTCTGTTCGCCGTCCCCCAGGCCTGCGGGGGGCCATCCCCTATGCCCTGAGCCTGCACCTGGATCTGGAGCCCATGGAGAAGCGGCAGCTCATCGGCACCACCACCATCGTCATCGTGCTCTTCACCATCCTGCTGCTGGGCGGCAGCACCATGCCCCTCATCCGCCTCATGGACATTGAGGACGCCAAAGCTCGCCGCAGGAACAAGAAGGATGTCAACCTCAGCAAGACGGAGAAGATGGTCTGTACCATGCGCCTCCAGGGTGGGGCGGGGGGCTGGCCTGCTGCACAGCTGGTGGCCCCAACTGTCAGGAAGTGGGGAGATGAGCCTTGCTTTGAGGACACCCAGCACCTCCACATACACACTTTACCCACATCCTGCACACGCACACACACCAGTTGTTCCCCCTGAGAAGGATGTGACGGAACTTGAGTTGTAAAGCATGGCTCTTGGGATGGGGGTGTCTGGTGGCCATGATCTGCTGCAGCTGGGGAGGCTGTGGGAGAACCCATCTGCTCCCTGTCTGAAGCTCCGTGGGGCACTGCAGGAGTCTGGGCCTGTGCCATACTCTCCCAGCAGTGCCTCTGTACTGCCAGCAGCTGAAACACCTGTCAGGACCCAGGTTTGAAGGTTTCAAAATCCCATCATTTTCCAGCATTTAGTAAAAACCACCTGTTGGGGGCCTGAGGTGGGGAGGATGGCTTGCAGTGCTTGTGAGGGCCCTGTGAGGGGTCCCCTCCCTCAGGGACAGACACGGTATGGGGTTGGAGGTCCCCAGGCCCCAGCAGTAGGGAGAAGTGAAGCTCTGCGGCCTGCCCACCTCTTCTACCTGCAAGTGACCGCCCCTGCCACCAGGCTGCTTCCGCCCTGTCTTCATCCTCAGGACCCCTGCACGAAGCCAGGCCCTCTGACCTAAGCAGAGGCTGCTCTGGGCTCCAGCCCACCCTCCTGCTACCTCTACCAACCACCGTGCCTCTCTTTCTAGTTCCCATATTCTAGGCCTCAGTCACTTTAATCAGTCATCAGAGGCCCAGGAGTCCTCAAGTGGCCTTCCACTGCCAGCACTGGAGTTGGGGCTGGCAAAACCATGGCCTCCCGTTTCCATGCTGGGCCCCTCAGCCTCTGCAGTGTGGCTGGAAACTTTCCAGATGGCCATCAGACCTGGCTCTTCTGAACTTCCGTCACACTAAGAGGCCCTTTGCCCCCATCTCGTATCTACCAACTTTCTTGTTTTTCACAAAAGCTCTAGCTCAGGCCTTTCTGGGTATCAGAATTAGCGGGGGACTTGGTACGCACAGGCTGCTAGGTCCCACACCAGCATCTCATAGGTCTGGCGTGGGGTCCGAAAGAATTTGTGTTTCTTCTTACTTATTCTTATTTATTTTTGAGACAGGGTCTCACTCTGTTGCGCGGGCTGAAGTGCCGTGATGTGATCATGGCTCACTGCAGCCCTGACCTCTTGGGCTCAAGTGATCTTCCCACTTCAGCCTCTGAAGTAGCCAGAACTCCAGGCAGGCGCAACCCCACCCAGCTAATTTTTTTTCTTATTTTTAGTAGAGACAGGGTCTCACTGTGTGGCCCAGGCTAAGAATTTGCATTTCTAAAAAGTCACCAGGTGGTGCTGCTGCATCTGATCCTGTGAATACACTTGGCGAAGCACAGTCCTAGCAGAAACAGGACAGCTCCTCTGAGGATGAACTGCTGAGTTTCTGGAATGTTTTCTGTGGCAGTCAGTGCTTGTGTTTTCCTTGGACTATCTCAGATTGTCCCAATAGCCTGCCAGAAACTGATGCTTTCATTATACCCATTTTGCAGATGAGGATGCTGAGGCATCAAGAGAATCAGATCACACAGCTGCAGGCACAGACTCTCGCGCTTGCACTCTTCACCACCACACTGATCAGCAGTCCTCAAAATGGGGTCCCCAGACCAGCAGCATCACTGGGAACTTGTTAGATATGCAGATTCCCAAGCCCGCTCAGACCTACTGACTTAGCTGCTCTGCATGTGACTCCACTGGGCCCACTATTTTGTGTTTCACAAGGCCCCCCCCCCACCCCAGGTAGATTTTGATGCAGACCAGTGTCTGACAAGCGCTGTTCACAGCATCTGAATGCCCTCCCCTCCCCTGCCGTCCTCTCCCTTCCTGCACCTGCCCCTCCCCCACCACCTGCAGTGAAGCTGTAGAGCACACGTCACTATGGCCCCACCAGGGCTCCTCCAGCAGCGCGGGCCACTGCACTCAGAGCCTGTCAGCTTCTCCTCCCTGTGGGGAGTGCCGGACATCCACAGTGACCGGAGCCCCGCCTCTTCACCTCTGGCCCTCCCCTCCACATGGGGTCCTTTTCTTCATCCCTTCCCAATTCCTACAGGACGCGTCCTTCTCCCCTCCCCTCTCCTGGCTTGATTGGCAAAAGGCTACCCATAGTGGAGTCCTAGCTGTTGGAGCCACAGGCAAAGAGGCAGAAAGAGTCTCCCTGTGCAATTTACTGGTAATGAAAAGCCCAGAACGACAGTTCCAGTCCTGGTTGCATAAGAGAGTCACGTAAAAGCTTAAAAACCAAGCCCCAGCCTGGCCTGGTCCTTCTGATTAAGTTGTCCTAGCTGGGGTCCTAGGCATCCATTGTGCCCTGATGAACCTTCCTGCCTCCCTGCAGGCTTCCAGGAGGCTGTCTGCTGCCCACCATCACCCTGCACCGATGGTCAAGTGGAGTTAGGGTTGGGGACACCGGCAGATTGGGTGGTGGTGGGGATTCCAGGAGATGTCCCCTGATGGTGTCAGCTGATGGCTATCAGACCGCCTTTCCTCCCCACTCAGGGCAACACTGTGGAGTCGGAGCACCTGTCGGAGCTCACAGAGGAGGAGTACGAGGCCCACTACATCAGGCGGCAGGACCTCAAAGGCTTCATGTGGCTGGACGCCAAGTACCTGAACCCCTTCTTCACTCGGAGGCTGACACAGGAGGTGGGACACCGGCCAGACTACATTCTCTGGGGTCCCTTGCCTGCCTCCTTCAGGACCTGCAGTTGCCCAGGGTCGGGTGGAGCAAGAGAGGGGAGGCAGGAAGGCTCACGTGGGCCTGCCAGGCCGCCGCCTCCCGGTCTGGAGGCTGGGTGTGCTTGTGGAACTTGGCATCTGCTGTTTTTCCTTCACTGCCACATTTAGTGCGAGGTTAATAATAGACGTTAACACAGTTTGGTTTTTCTGGATGATAGACTCAGGGTATCAACCAACTAGTGAATCGGAGCTGAGGAATTTCCAACATACCAGGGCCCCAGGCGGTGGCCCAGGCTCAAAGCTCTGCTTCTGTCCCTCAGAGCACTTCTGGCCTCTTGGTGGTTGGAGGCCTTGGGTCAGGGTGGGGCTCTTCCCACTGCTGCCCCCTCTGTTTCTGAGCAGGCCTGTTTTCCACTCTTGGGCAGACCTGATAGCTAGCGGCCTGTGCGCTCTTCCAGGAGCCAGGCAGCTCCGGTGACCGTGACCGCCACCGCTTCCTTCTCCAGCATCCCGTGCAGTGGCTGTGGCTGTCTCCTTGACAGCTGAGGAGATGGAGGCTTAATGGGGTGCAGTAACCCCGCAAGGTCACAGCCAATATGGGTAAAACCGGGAACAGAGCCAAGTGTGTCTGACTCCAGAGGCCACGTTTTTACACTCACGCCATGCTACCTCCTCCTTTCTGAATGAGGCCTCCTGTGATCTCCACTCCACAAAGAACAACCCCAGCTCAGTTTGTTCAGCTGAAACTGAAGTTGCTGTGGCCATCACCCTGCCCTCCCACCTCCTCCCCAGACACCCCACACAAGACACCCAGCAGCCTCCCCACCCTTCCTTGGCCCTGCCCCTGATGCATTGACAGCTTGGTTGTGTCTCTCCACCCAGGATCTGCACCACGGGCGCATCCAGATGAAAACTCTAACCAACAAGTGGTACGAGGAGGTGCGCCAGGGCCCCTCCGGCTCTGAGGACGATGAGCAGGAGCTACTTTGATGCCAGGTGCCAAGGCTTCAGGCAGGCAGGCCCAGGATGGGAGTTTGCTGCCTACAGACACTCAGCAGGGCCCTTGAAGAGGTGTGTGCATCCAGCAGCCCCTTCAGGACATAAGAGGGCGGAGTGAGGCACCGGCTGCAGAGTCACCTTAACCCGGAACTTGCCAGGCATCTGGAGCCAGGTGACTTGTTGAGAAACTGTCATCTCCCCACTCCTCCCTGAGCCAGCCTCCGCTCTCACTGTAGCTCCTCAGCCCACAGAGGGGAGGGAGCACTGGGCCAGGCCCCAGTCATCGGTGAAGCTGGGGTGCCCGCCCGCCCATGCACCCAGAGGACCCCTGTGGTCCCATGCCGGGAGGAGTACCATCTACAGTTGCACCAGTCTCCAGCCACTGCCTTCATCCCACCCCCACCAGACTGGCAGAGCCAGGGGCCAGCCGCCTGCCTTTGAGTCATCAAGATGCCTCCACAGCAGCAATTCTGACCTAAGTGGCAGGGCCCAGAAATCTTGAAGACCTCCCACTCCCCTTTGCAATACTTCCTGGGCTCCCTCAGAAATGGAGTGACCTTTTTTCCTGTACCTGATTGGCACCTCATAGCCTGTCTACCTGGGTGGCAGGCGGCTGCTGCCCTTCTCTGGGCACGTTCTGAATGTTCACACTAGTACCTTCTGGTATCTTCTTTAGAGCCCCCTGCAAGCTGCAACCCTGGGTTTTTATCTTTTGGGGTCAGAGCGCCCTCTAGAGGGAAAAGCTAGAGGCACAGGGTTTCTGCTGACCCGCAATTGCTGTCTTGATTAGGTTTAAATTCATGCGTTTTTACAGCAAAGTGCTGGGAACCTCATAGTCGCCTCCTGCCACCTGATCTCCCTCCCTGCCATTCTCGTACTCGGTTGTTCTTTTGTCTAATTGGAGACCGCTGTGCTGAGGCCCTGTGGTGTCTGCTCACTGCTGCCACTTTTGCTGCTAATCACGGTTCCATCTTCTTTCCCCTCTCCCAGTTCCCTACCACGTTGGATCCCATTTGTCACCCATGCTGGGGTCCCCAAAGCACTGGGGCAGGGGCCAGAGCAGCAGCACCCAGTGCTCCCCCCTCCCACCCTGACCTGGAGCCCCAGCAGCCTGGAGTTGGATGAGGATGCTCCATGCACACACACACACACCTCCTGCCCTGTCCCTGGGTCCTGTCCCCCTTGGCTGTCTCAGGGTAAGGAGCTGCCAGTCATGTCCAGATGGAACCGAGTCACTGACTTGCATCCTCTCCTCACCTCCACTTTGACAAGCCTCAAACTGCTCAGCTCATCGAAGGGCCGTTGCCAACTTCTGTATGTGGTTCTGGGTCATAGGGAGCCTTGGAACCTGGCACCCTGGCGTGGTTGAATTCATCATGTGCATGCCTGCTTCTTTGGGGACACAGTGGGCCCGCATAGACCCTACCTGGAGCAAGCACGTCTCCATCTCTTCGGTGTCAGGCAGCATGGCCTCTGGATGTCAGGAGGAACTGACCTCAGGACCTGCCAGGACTTGTGCCAGGAATGAGAGGCCAGGCCTGATCCTGCCACTTCGCCTCACTCCCAGAGTCAGAGCAGGCCAGCCAGGCAGGAAGCACGCTGTTTACTTTTTGCATGAAAAGTAAATTTGTACCTGATAGACCTAAAGTATGATCTTTTTTAGTCCCTCACTTTAACCCCGTAATTTGAGCCGTTGCCTTGCTTAATTTAGGTCTCCACCATTTCCTTTCAGTGGAGAAGAGAGGAGGTCAGAGGGTGGGGACCTTTGCCTGTCCCTGGGGGAGTGGGATTAGGGATCTGAGACCAGATTGTTCTCTCACCCCTGCCAGAATTCACTCTCCCCTGAAGTTCAGGGTCCGATCTCCCAGATGTAAGTTGCTTTGCAAACTCAGTTGTTTGCCAGGATTTCTTTATTTCCGAATCTAAAATTCACAGGTAAAGCAACGAAAAGGTCAGATCCCATTTCCATCTGCCCCCACATCACCAGTCCGATGCCCCAGCCATGTCACACCTGGCCTCACACTTTTAGCTGAGACCTGAAAATGATGCTGTAGAGGAAGAGCATGTGGGGGCTTGGTGGAGGGGCCCCAGGGTTTGCAGAGGGGAGAGGGGCTTATGGGACTTTTCCCAGGAGATACCAGCACAACGTCATCTCCTGTGAGCCTCCTCTGCCCCCTGCTGGCCAAGTGAGGTCAGCAGCCTGGGAGAGTGCCCTCAAGAGATCAGGGCACCCCATGTTCCTCAGCAATCTTGGCTCACCTTTGTAACAAAAGGCCATGGAAGTCTTTTTCTGGTCGATTTTTTCAAATGTCTTTGCCTGAGAATAACAAATTGCTGCTGTCTACCTTTAGCACACCCAATAATTCTATTTGGGGCAGTGAATGCGTAGAAGATACAAAAATACGCAGCTTAACTATATCTTCCTGCGTGTATATTTATTTTCTTCTGAGTCTGGGCCATGGGACAGGAGAGCTGTGGCGTGTAGGAGGAATACTTGAGGAGGAGTGAAGGCTGGAGCCAGGGAGCGCTGGGGGGAGCCAGGCCTTAGCCAGCAGCCCCTCCACCACAGGCGCCACTGTGCGCAGCTCGTTCTTGGAATAAATCCCATGCGTTCTGCAGCCTGTAGCCCCCTGTGACTTGGTGTGCGAGGTCTCATAGGGAAAGGGGCTGGCTTCTCCTAGGTCCTTGAGATCAAGTTTGTCGGGGGCTGGGCCAGGGCCAGGCTGAGGGTGGCTCCGTTCCATCATCTGGAGCTCAGACACTCCGTCCAGGGGCAGAACTGAAGCCCTCCCGGCCCCCACCCAAGCCAGCCACTCCTTTTTACAGTGGGCGGGGGGGCTGGGCTGGGCAGTCCGGGCAGGCTGGCTGGCATGACATCAAGGGGCAGCCCTGAGCGCCAGAGTCGCCCAGGTTAGCCCACAGGATTCCTTTGTGTGCCATGGAATGCTGAAAGATGGGTGACTGGGGATCCTTCTTAAAATCCTTGGCAGGCCGGGCGCAGTGGCTCAAGCCTGTAATCCCAGCACTTTGGGAGGCCGAGACGGGTGGATCACGCGGTCAAGAGATCGAGACCATCCTGGTCAACATGGTGAAACCCCGTCTCTACTAAAAATACAAAAAATTAGCCGGGCATGGTGGCGCGTGCCTGTAATCCCAGCTACTCAGGAGACTGAGGCAAGAGAACTGCCTGAACCCAGGAGGCGGAGGTTGCGGTGAGCCAAGATCGCACCATTGCACTCCAGCCTGGGTAACGAGAGCAAAACTCCGTCTCAAAAAAAAAAAAAAAAAAAAAACCTTGGCAAAGGTGCCGTCAGCAAGGCTTGACCTCATGAAGTCTTGGGATTGTGTTCCCACAAGGCCCACATACTCAGAGAGTCCTCAGCAGGGTGGCCGAGACTAGGGTGCTTCTGCTGAGGAGCAGGTAGGCTTGGGTACGGGTGTGGCCTGGGGTGGCTCAGGGCTGGAACTGCTGCCTGATTCCTGTGTGGGGTAGAAGCTCAGTGGCCATTCTCTGCCACTGACAAGGTTTTCACATGCAGAAGAGAAAAGGTGCCCCTCCTGCCAAATGTGTGCCAGTGTATGCTGCCCTTGCTGGGGGCGGGTAGGAAACCGCACCTGAGTGTCCTGATGAGGAGTCATGAAGCAGTGTCCTCGGGAAGGCGTCTCTAGAGCCCCGGGTCTTCCATCTAACAGGTAAAGCCCTCAAGAGACTACAGAGCCAGCCCCCTTCCCTTTAGGCTTCTGCCATTTCCCAAACGGTTCTCCAACAGACATTGAGGGGCTTTGCTGTTACAGGCATGTAACAGAGCGGGGAAGACTGGCTAGCATCCTTGCCCCCTCCCATCCTCCTTCCTCTGGCCATTTTCTTGCCATGGCCTCTGGTGCCCTTGAGCGGGTCTCCCTGGCTGCTCTGCAGGGCTTTACTGGCTTCAGGATGAGCGCAAAGTGCTGGTGAGCAGTGGGCCTGTGGTTGGATGGGAAGATGTACATCAGTGGTCAGAAGTCCCCTGGCAGCCCTGCAGAGCCAGAGCCTCAGGCCAGGACGGGGGCGGCTCCCTACTCCCACCTGGACAGTGGGCATGGTCTGGACGGTGGGCAAAGGCTTATACCAAAGCCTCTGATGGTTTCTCCAAGTAGGGATCTGCAAAGCTCGAACTGTCGTCAAGATGGGTGTGAATCTTACATTCCTTTTCATTATTTCCTTTGTTAAAAGAGTGCTGGATTTTTGTTTTAAGAAGCATTATGAAGGCCAGGCTTACTCATTTTTCTCCCCCAAGGGAGCTGTGAGGGGCCCCTGTTAGGCCCCTGTTTCCTGAGCAGTGATGTGCTGCTCTTCTTGCTGAGGCTTTGGGTTGGGAGGAGAAGGCAGGTGAGAGATGCGGGACCTGTGGCTGCCATGTGGGAGCCCCTGCGTCATCTCACTGGACTCTTGTTCAAGAGAGTGGGAATAGATGGAAGACGTCACTGGATGCTTACTTAGAATTAAAGTGTTGCTGCTGAATTGGAGCCAGTCTCTGTATTCACGTTCAGGTGGCTTTGCAGAGGCACAGGTCATACCTCCTAGACTGGGCTCTGCGGCACACAGCTACCTAGCCTCTGGGCTGCTGGCAGCCATGTCACCAGGAAGTACAGTGCTTAGGAGCAGGGCTTGGATCAGGCTGGCCTGTGTCTGTTCCTACCTTTGGCCTTCAGTGAGGAGCATGTGCAACTCAGCCCCCAGCCAGGCTCAGCTTCTCCTCACAATGCTAGGAGCCCTTCCTCCCCAGGGCTGGCTGCTGGCCCAGGCTGCAGGGCTGCCTGGTCTCCTGCTCTCCAGTCCCCCACAGACCTTTGCCTGATGGGGGATCTTCTGTCACTGAACGCGCCCTGCCGCAGGAGTGGGGCTGTCCATAGCCCTGATTGGAGGCAGTGGCGTGTTGGGGAAGAAGGGGCATGAGTTCATCTATACCCCCACGTACTTCGAAAGGCATCCGAGCTGCTGATGGTAACAGGCACACACCAAAAATGCATGTGATGTAAAACGAAACCAGGCAGGAGAAGCTGTCCTGGCCCCGGCCAGGAGGCAAGAGCTGAGTTTCCTGGTTCCTTCCCAGCCTGCGCTTCACCTCACCCCGGGGGAGACTCCCAAGGCCACAGTGGGCTCCCTTTGTCCTGCTTTTGGTGGAAACCCAGATTCAGAGAAATGTTTCTCCACCGTAAGAAAAACTGCAAGTGTGATGACAAGTGGCAGCTGACACTTGCCTGGATTGTCCTCAAGATGGATGTGATCTTATATTCCTTTGGAGTGTAAGAATCTCACATTCCTTCAGAGTAAAAGCATATTTGGGAGTATAAGAACCTTATGTTCCTTGGGAGTATAAGTATATTCCTTGGTGTCAGGGAGGCACAATGAGAGTGATGAGGACTCTGGCAAACAGAAAGCAGAATTTTCCAGACCAGACCTGCCTGCGAGGGCGGCTGCGAGGTGGAACTGTGCTGTGCTGAGCAGAATGTCAGCCGGGACGGAACGGAGCCCTGGCAGCAAAGGTTGGGGGTGGTCCTGAGCGGGCACCTCATTCCCACGGAGGGAACAGGGTATGTTTTATTTGTATTTCAACCTTCCCACCTCCTAGAAAAAGCTCTCAGGGTAGAGGGGAGCAATCGAGGCAAGAAATATTTTCCTTAGAGGCTAGAAAGCTGGCAGGAGGCTGGAGGTTCACGCACCGAGTTGAGAGCCCTGTTCTTACTCCACAGGGCGCTAGGGGAATGAAGCTGGCCTGGAGGGGAACCCCACCGACTCTTGGAGGCAACCCCTTCCCACCCTAAGCAAGGGACAACGCGGCCCTCTACCTCTAGCCAGAGAAGATGGGAGACATGAAGGGCAGTGGGGGTCAGGGGCCAGTACAGTCATTTCAAGGCCCTGGGTAACGGTAAGTGCCCCATAAATGGAGGTCCTCTTTGTGAATACTTACGGGCCTTCAGGAGAGAGGTGTCAGCCACACTCCCCCTGCCTGGGCAGGCTGCCTGGCAGACCTGGGGGTCTTAGCATCAGTTGGGACCAGCTTAGTGCCAGGGACAGAAGGGATCTCTGCACATAGAGGCAGCTGCCAGCTAATGCCGTGATGTAAATGGGGAAGAAAATAAGTCTTTGCTTACAAAAAAAAAAAAAAAAAAGGCCACAAAAATGTAGTTGGTTCATCTTGTGGTGAAGATGAGCTGTACGCTCCTATCTGCTGGTGGGAGGGCAGCTGGCTCACACTCTCCAGAGGCCACTGTGGTGACAGCTCTCCAAAGCCTGCAAATGGCTGAGCAGTTCCACTCACATGAAAAGGAAAGTGCATACAAACTGCGCACCGAGAATGGTCATCCTGGCAATGTCTGAATGAGGAAAAATGGGCAACGACCTCTTTGTCCATGAATAGGGGATGGTGAGATAAATAATGATAGAACACCAACAATTCAGGATCCTAAGGACGTGGAAACATGTTGAGAATGTTATCAGGCCAGCATTTTACCACCTTTAGAGAGAGAAACATTTCACCCTCTCCTTAAATGCTGTTTGAGATTTCAAAATGATGAAAAATGAAAGTAGAAATTTTAGTGCATCCTTTTATAAAAATACACATACTGGTGCTCTAGCACACACCCATTGATCCCTAATACGTCAGACCTGGTGGTTCCTTTCAACCACAACTTCTTCCCTCTGCCCTGATGTCTTTGGTGAGAGAACCCATGTGGTTCGTGTAATGAGTGACTGCATGCTTCAGGGGGAAACAAAGTCGGTTCTCAGCTCAGGCTGTTCCTGGTCAGTCTCTCTGCTTGTCTGAGATTGGCTGAGAAATGGGTCTATGACCTTATTTGGCAGGAGAATGAAGCAATGTGTTTTCTTTTTTGTTTCAAACGGAGTCTTGTTCTGTCGCCCAGGCTGGAGTGCAGTGGTGCGATCTCGGCTCGCTGTCACTGCAATCTTCACCTCCTGGGTTCAAGTGATTCTCCTGCCTCAGCCTCCCGAGTAGCTGGGATTACAGGCATGTACCACCATGCCCGGCTTTAGTAGAGATGGGGTTTCACCCTGTTGGTCAGGCTGGTCTTGAACTCCCGACCTCCGGTGATCTGCCTGCCTTGGCCTCCCAAACTGCTGGGATTACAGGTGTGAGTCATCGCACCTGGCCTGAAGCAGTATTTTGAGGAATTTCTAAAACTGTTTCCTTACTCTCAAAAAGACACTCAAAGAAGGGACATGTTCTCTTCCCATTGTCTGGCCTTTGCCTTCCATTACACGAGGATGTCATGTTGCACCCGCTGCAGCCATTTTGAGACCAGGAGGGAACACCTTGCCAACAGGCTGAGGGTGGCAGGGCAGAAACAGAGGCTTGTGTTTCGTTTTCAGAAGCATATCAATAGATGTGCCTCTATAGGGTAAATTCGTGGTATGTGTA